AGTTGAAATGTGTTCTAGAGTCCCCAAGGCATCTTTCTAGCAAGTTACAAGAAATTTCGTTTTTTGGTGAAAAATGAAAAAAATGCAAGGGGTTAGCCTTGCTTTTTTATCCAAATTTGGCCAAAAAATTGTTTAGCAATATTTTCTTTTGAAAAGCAAATCTGTCTTCAAATGTGTCCCTCAGGCATCTTTCTAGCAAGTTTCAAGAATTTCATTTTTTGGTCAAAATTGAAAAAAATGCCTTACATTTTTATCAAAATACGGCCAAAAATTGACTTTTCTCCAAACAATGCAGACTATGGAGGACTGTGGACTATGGAGAGATAATCCTGAATCAAACCGCTACTCGATGTGCGAAATCGAGTTTGCATGTGCTTTACCCGTGCAATGCCAAGTTTGGTCAGGGATCGGCTGTAGGGAATGAAATCCAAACCACCGGTCTTGGATGACGTAGTTGATTTCCAATGATCAGTCTACATTGACTGATTTTTGAAAATGAAGAGTGCAATATGGACGACATCGTGCGTCGTGATTAAAAGGTCGTGCATGGTTTTTCACTGTTTTTTCGAAAAGGGTAATATCCATTGAACTTACACTTTTAACAGGTTAGGTTGTGAACCATGATTCTTCTTTTGGATTTTGAGTGGTGTTATAATTGAAAACGAGCAAAATGCATGAAAAACAAATTATCCTTAAAAACCGGAGATGCCGCGCGCACGGTGCACAAGTTGACGGATTCTTTTTTTTTAAAGTCTCGTCGAATCACGCGTTGCCGAGAATGTGGCACTATGACGTCATTCAATTAACCATCACAAGACAGAGAGGATTTCTGTCGTTCCTCCATCTACAGTTAAGTTCTTAATACACCAGGGGAAAGGGGGGATTTCGAAAAAAAGAATTGGTCCAGTGATATATACAACGATATGTATTTGGGTCATTTTATAAATTTATGATCCACTTTCTACCTGTCTCAGTTACATCTGACATGATTGTTAAACAAACTAACAATCTAACAAATAAAAATACATGTAGCTCGAAGTTGATTGAATACAAAGTTACGGGGTAGCAGGGACAGCAAGTACACTCAGCACCCTAGATTGATAGAATGCCCAATTTCCAAATGTGAAAAAAAGAACGCTCTTGATAAGTTAAAGGATTCCGTTAAAATCCTTTTCACAGTTCAAAACGGTCGTAATTTTACATGGGTTTGAGTCCAACAAGATGAATCTTTAAAAACTTCTGGGACCAAGAGCAAACTCTTCATCAGAAAAAAAAAATAAAAGTAGAGTTTCCACCATCTACCCGTCATAATAAGTAATAGATTATAATTTCTCATTAAAATTAAAACCCTCCTATGGAAACATGCATTCTGAGCCATGCTGTTACTTGGGTCAATATTAGTCAAGTGACCCATTGGTTTGTTAAAAGTATACCGCGGGAAGTGGAAGGAAACTTTTAACATTTGTGACCTTTTAAGCAGCAGAAGGGCTGTTACAACTGATAATGTAGTAACCAACGGATAATGTATCACCAACCGATAATGTCACACAAATTGACCGATACTGTATCACTAACCGATAATGTAACAGAAATTGACCGATAGTGTAGTAAATGTTACTACACTATCGGTCAATATTTGTTACATTATCGGTTAAGACCGATAATGTAACAACAATCGACTGATAGTGTAGTACATTTTTACTACACTATCGGTCAATTTGTGTGACATTATCGGTTAGAGATACAGTATCGGTCAATTTGTGTGACATTACCGGTTAATGATACATTATCCGTTGTTTTCTACATTATCAGTTGTAACAAGGGCTCACCCAATAATCCCACAAACGCCCAGTTGCAAAACAGTGTGCTTTGATTATCAACTACATCTGCATAAAACTGCATGGTTTGACACACCTAGTTGTCCAAGCTCCATATAATTTTATACATTGTGTAATAAAATTCTAGCTAGAATATATAAAATAAATTCTATAAAAGATTTTCATATGAGGTTAAGGTGGACTATTTGAATACATTTTGTGTGGGTTTCAGTTTGAAAGACATGATCCACACAATACTAAAGATATTAATTAGTGCAATTTCATTAACAAAAATCTTTTTATTATATATATAAAAAATATAAAAATACCCTGCCTGTAGCGTGGTCAAGTGAACTTTACAAACTCAATTTCTACAGTGCTAAAATACAATTTTAAAACAAATATTAAATGAAGCAGTGAAATTACAACAACAAAAATCATATATAATGTGCTTTTCAGAAATGAACTATTTGAGGGGTTAGTATAATAGATCAAATATTGTTACACTGACTTGTTTTAAGTTTTGTGTTCGAAAAAGCTGGAAAAACCAATAAAAACAAAAATGTTCAAGCAGTCTGGTTCCCTGACTCCACTAAAGATGAAATGGATCAATGCCGGAAAACTGTAAGGTAAGGGAACCAATTTAGCTGGCCTGCACCCGTTCCTGAACATGTAACCAATAGCAAACACAATTTGGACTGCAATTGGTAAATTTGGAGCAGTAGTTGAAAAAAAGTTATACAAAATATCACTTTTCTTGAAAATGACTTCACACCAGGTGCCATCATTTGACAGGATGCCTTAGATAGTAATTTACCAACAAGGTATTTCGTAAAAATTTGGTAGTTTTGTTTTTTGATGTTTGCAAATGTTGTATGTTGCCTTTAAATGCATTGACAAAATTAAAACAACTGGTTTGGCTCCAATAATATTCAGACTAGTTCAGCTGTAGTAAATCACAAGTTAGTCACGTGTCAAATCACAGATTTAGGTCACAATTATGTAAACTGGAGCAATGACAAAGGAAGGCGGTTGACATAGTTCATTTGAATGGTTATGTAAGCTATGTATGGGCTCCATGCGCCAACAAAAGAGGGCGCATTTTTACCACTTTTGAGAGCCCCATGGACAGGACACACAGCGTGTGCATACTGTACTGTTCGCACGCGAAGTGCGCACGACTTCCTGAACGTGCCAAAACTACTAACCGCATCTTCTTTGCGTGAACGTCAGGCGACAGCGGCGCGCGAATACGTTCAAATTTATCTTGTGATTGCCTCCCAGACTAATCCCCGCCCCCAATCACTTTGGATCATTCGAAATTTGCAGTGGATGGAGTGGGAACCAGTCTAGGTCTCCCCCAACTCTCCTTTTCTGGCCGTTGAGGGGGTACATTTCCTTAACTTATGACTCCACTACAACTCTGATTCAGACTAAACTGCGTCCAAATGACCATGACTGTGGCTGGAAATAACACATGCGCCTATGGAAGAAGCCGCAGCCGCTTCCCAAAGACCTGTCATTGGGACGCGGCTCCAGCTTTGATACCCTGTTAGACTCTCACACTGTATAAATCAAACCACTCAAAGCATTAACAAATTCTACAAGTATACACTCAAGAAATTAAATTAAAATATAGTAGAAACTATTTTAGTAAAGCTAAAAGTATACCCTGTTGCACTCTCCAACTGTATAAATCAAATCACTCACGAAATAAAAAAAAAATACACAAGTTAAGCTAAAAAAATAATACAATCTCCAATAGGAAGGGGTTTTTTAATTGTTTTTTGGTGACCTTTAAAGTTGGAAAAAATCTATCTTTGGTTTTGAGGTTTGTCTCTTTCTAAACATATTTGCGGGAACCGGATTCCCGCGGTCTGGAAAAAAAAATGGAATGGAATGTTATTTTCAATTTCCAGGTCTGGAAAAGTCATGGTAATTTGTAAAAGTGACAAAAAGGCACGGAAAAGTCCTGCAATTTTGTAAGGACCAATTTATTTGATATTTTAAACTGTGTACACTCATAATGTATAATTTATTCCCAACTAAATGCGAGAGGTTTTGAAAGACAAGTGCTCTGTTTTGTTGTTTCTGCTGAGCACTTTTCACAGAACAAGTTTTGCAGTTTTGATCTGCATTTTGATGAAGAAGGTCATGGATTTTCATAATTTGGTCGTGGGAAAATTCATAGAATTTTATTGTCCTAAACGTGGAAAGAACGTGAAAATATGAATGCCACACAAAATTTTGTTTGAAATTGGACAAATTGTTTCGCTGTGTACAATGTTCATGATTTTGTTTATACCTGAAGGTGCTGTTGCCTGAGCACACACGGACAAAATATGTTACCGGTGACGTAAAAATGGCAATCATTTTGCCAATTTTGACGCTTCTGCCTTAGATGACATCACTTCTTTGGTCAGGAAAGACCCGCCAAAGACTAAAAGACCCGCCAAAGAAATGGCAGTACAAAGACTGGGAAAAAGATGGTTACAGGGAAACCAAGGTAACATTAAAAATGAATTACGTATTCCTTTAAAACCAATATTCATTATTATATCAGGCTTCCAGTGGTACAAATACATCGGCGTATTGTATGCTTTCGTAAAAAGTACCCAGATGACTGCAATATTATGTCAGTAAAAGTACATGTACCTGGATGAGGACATATTATTTTTGATGTTGTCTTCATCCGGGCATTTTAACAAATGTTGCTGGTTCCCGCACAATCATGAGTGTAGAAACTCACACTTGTCAACCAGGCAACCGAGCATAGCATGCGGTACCATACTACACTGTAAAAAAGTTGGGCAAAATGGGTTGATAATTCGACCAGTGCTGGTCGAATTACCAACTGCCTACACTCTTGGGCAAATTCTTCCCAATATTTAGACAGTTTTTACCCAATTCAACCCAATATGAGGTAATTTCATACCAATGTCGGGTAAATTACATTGCCCAACAGTATTTTACCCAACGTTTTTACAGTGTACCTGGACGCAGCGCGCAGCAGGGTATATGCGCACTGTTGTCAACCACCACAATGGCAGCTTCGAGCGGCGAGAAATTTGTTTCGGTAAGCGAAGAATATTCAACGAAATTTGAGAAATAAAGACAGTGTCATGAAATTTATTGCTTGTGGATCGAGTCAGCCTGATATAAATAATAATATTGGATTTTTTGGGGGGGAAGGGGGAATACAAGAATATATTGCACTCGCTATAACAATATTACACAAAGCACAGACGAGTGCTATACTGTAACAGCTCATGCAATGTATTCCTGTATATTCCCTCAAAGCCATCCGATCTTATATTATTGCCCACATGATGTCCAATGAGAGGTTTTTGGTGTTTCCGTGATTACTGGCTGCTGGTTGGATGTTGAATACCGCCCTCAACTGGTGTTATCAAGACCTGGCATCCGTCCTTCGGTTTCATGGTGGTTTCCACAATGAATCCCAAGTCTTGTCCTGGAACCAGACTGAAGTTGAAAGCCTGCAGGAGTTTGGCTAACAGCACACGAGCTTCGATCTGCGCCAGAAAGTGACACAAAACACAAAGACAAAACTTCACATTAAACTGTTTCATTTGGTAAGTTTTTGCACTAGGAAAAATGTTAATGTACTTTTGAAAGACTGCTGCTTTTTTTGCAGGAAATGCATGCCAAAATGTTGCTTGATTTAGCCTATTTCCATTTTCTTGAAGCCATACTTCCGATTTTAGGGCTAAATTACAGAATTTTTCTGCCTTTTTTGCAATGTGCAATATAAGTGGAAAGTCTATACTGTTTTCTAAGAATAAAACTTGGTTGTTCGCTGGTGCAGCATGTAATCTATCTGTAATTCTTAGGCTAGGCTTGACCCGATCATTTTGACTAGTGCTTGTCAAAACTCAATTTCAAAAACAGGTGTTAATGAACCAGAAGATTGTGAAATGCAAAATGCCACAACAATATTAATGTTAATTATAATATAGGCCTTACCGGTAATTATATTTAACAACTAATAAAATACTATGTAATCTCAATTTGCATCCTTTTATGGCCTTTAATAACAAAATATATATGGAGGCTCCTTTTGGTGTTAATCTTTTTTGTGTTAATATTCAAACAAATTAACCTGGGTCAGTGAATAAAGCATATAATATTTTTTTGACACACACTACTTTAGCATCTGGAGTAAACTTTTCTCAAAAACTTACCAATGCAAACTGTTGGCCAATGCAGTTCCTGGGGCCAATTGAAAACGGCATGAAAGCACCTGTAGAACTGCAAGTGGGGTTTGGGAATAAAAATGTTAAATTAAAAGAACAGCCTTTGAGAAGTGTTTTAATTTTGACAGAAGCCAGCTGCAATGAAGTATGCATTGATCAGTTCTGTAGCTCAGTCTTTTGACTAATTCTGCAATCGCCATAAACACCCCCGTGCTGTGGATGTCGCCAATTGTGATATAACTGACATACAGATCCTTGTCATATGATTGGTGGAACTCACATCATGTGACATTCATTATTGCTCCCATTCACGCCGGGGCTCAAAAAGTCCCATCCGCCCATGGTGAATGGGATCTACTATTCAACAGTTGGGATCATCCTTGTTCCTGGGCGCGGTATTTGTGTGCAAAAGCATGCTGGTGTGCGCGTTGAGCGTTGCGCGTATTGTTCCTAAGAGCCAGTAGCTACAGAGTTGGGTTCAAACATTATCGCGAAGGGTGATTTGGAAGAAAGAAATACATTTCACGCAAATTTTGTATTGAAATAGAAGTTCATTTTAACTGTAAATCAAATGACAAAGATCTATATGTCAGCTATATAAAAGAAATATTGAATGGCTTTAAATTGTGAAATGGGAGGAATACTATCACTAGGTAAAATCTGGACTTTCCCATTTTGAGAGACGAAAGAAATTCCAGATTTTACCTTGCGATACTATTCCTCCCATTCCACTGCGCGCGCAACCATTGACACAAACGCACAAATTACAAATGATGGACTGTACCCTTAAAGGCTACTTATTTTAGAGGATTCATCATCACATGAACCTGTCTTTAGTAGCAAACTTCTACTTTGAATAGACAATCTGTTGGGTCCTGTTACCTTTCATCCCCATGAAGGAAACGGTCCGGAGAAAACTGCAGGGCATTCTTCCAGTATCTCTCGCTTCGGCCCACAGCATGAAAGGATACCTTCAAGAAAAATGGAGAATTCAATGAAATTACTGTAGGGAAGTGTCTTTTAGGATGCACTGTACAATTGGCACAATGCTTAACTTCTTATGAATGTATCTGGGCCCAATTTCACCGTGCTGCTAAGCACACGATTTTCTGCTAACAGAGCCTCCGTCTATTTCATGGAGACCGTAAGCATAAGCACAGCAAAAGGCACACTTAATTCAGAGGAAAAATTTGCTTAACTTAGTGATGCAACAATAGAAATCTCCATGCATGCGCGACCGTTAGCACATCCACGCCGTGAAATAGTGCTCAAGGTTAGTAAATATTTCTGCTATGCTAAGCACAACTTTTCTGCTAACTGCTAAGCAGTGCCGTGAAATTGGGCCCTGGTTCATAAGTGACTGAGTCATATGCACGCATACGCTACTAACTACATATACTGTATTGACAACGTGGTTATTTTGGAATTACGATAACTAAACTGGGTATCAAATTGATTCTAAAATTGTCTCTAAAAAAAAAATGGCTGAAGTGTTCGCCAGAATTATAATACAATGGAACGCCGCTACAACAAACATCGTGGGATCCACAGAATTGTTCGTAATAGCGATCGTTCGGTATGGGCGATTTTAAGCCGAAACCTACCAGCTTGTGGTTTTCACACATTAGTGGCGCCCTCTTTTGACCATTGTTCATTTACAAACCGCGCGCTGATTTACAAACAACGCGCTGCTTCGCCAAACTTGTCCATTCATCTGTTCAATTCCGTAAGTAGAACTTGACTCTGCACACCTTGGTAGTTACTGAAATATGACTTTGAACACGTGCGACTATTGAATCATGTAATTACACAGTTTTTAAGCTTACATGGGTGGCTTTACCTGAGTCTATTCCTTGGGGAAGGAATAGCCATTTGTCGCTCTTCTGTTGACAGCTTTCAACTACAATGTTCGGTACGTTTTGTACACAGAAATCGGGGCCTAAGGATAATGTTCAGTATAGCCGTGTTCGGTAAAGCGACATTCCACTATATAGGTTTTCATAAGTTAGGCCAAAAAAAAAATAGTCGGTCTCTGGTCAGACCGAAGTTCCGGAATTGATGCGGCGACGCAGGGTGTTTTTTTTTTTTTTTGGTGGCTTTTTTTTTTTTCAAGCTTGTATTGTACAGACAAGGTGGGTATTATTTTGTTTTTTTGTGTCCTCATTATACATTGGTGTCCTCCATAATTTGCCTTGGTGCCCTTTATCATTTGCCTTGGTGCAATTTCCCGAATTCCTTGGTGCTCCTTGGTACAAAAATGTTGAGGAGGTGCGGCAATAGAGGGCGCTGTTGTAGCTTCCGTGTTCAATTTGAAAAAAAAAAGGTTGACGCGCATGATTAAAATCGACGCGAGCGCTGACCAGAGACCAATTCTTTTTTTTTGCCCCTATATAGGTTACTTTGAGAATAAAATAGGCTCCCAAATGGAAATGTAGCTTTCTTTATAGGTTCATATAGGTTTTAATGGTTTCACTGTGAGTCTTGAGAATGCCATAAAATCTTGCTACAGCCAATCCACCTTCAAACCATGATTTGTATCTTACACCCAGTGTAGTGCCAGCGGGTATCTTGACGCCGTCTATCACCGTGTCTGCTATGGAGGTTCTGACCGTACCAGCAGCTGGGGGGTGAATCCGCAGTGTCTCCTTCAGGACCTGTAGTGGGGGGGGGGGGGTAGAGAACAAAATTCACATTTCAATACAACACAACTCCTGTAGTTGATTTCTAAGGATTGAATGATAAAGAGTAATATGGACGAAATCAGGTTTCATGCAAGGTTGTGCATGTTTTTTCACTGCCTTCTCGAAGAGCGTAACATCCCCTGACCACTGAGCCAAACTGCAACATGTAGGTTTTGAACATTCTTCTTTGGATTTTGAGTGGTGTTATTATTGGAAACGAACAAAACGCATGAAACGTGGATGATTCTGTATGCATTTCAAAACCGAATGGTTGAAAAACCAACTATACTGTAAAACCTATAGAGAAAGTACTCATTAGGCCAAAAAAATGAAAGTCTCCGGTTTCTGGTATGCGCGCGCGTCGCCGTAGCCATGCGCGTTGGCAAAATGAAAAAGTTTTTTTTTCAATGAAAGATGATGTCTGAAAACCGCCAAACTCACTGGTCTGACTGGAATCATGCTGCTGCACAATTTTAACCTGTTTTTAGATTGGGTTATGGTCGAAAATAAGCTTTATGTGGCCTCTCTGGACTCCCATATAATTTGCACTAAGTTTAGTCGGGCACCATTTGCAGTCATCAGCCGACATTTGAAGCAAAAAATCAGGTAAAAAAAAAAACAGCCGCGTCGCTGCACCACTTTTTGAGCAAGCTCCATACCAGAAACCGGAGACTTTTTTTTTTTGGCCTTACTTACCGCCACCATGTATTCCAACTTGGACAGATCCTCATATGGGATGAATTCTTTATCAGAAACAACAGCATCTACCTCTGTCTTCAGTCTGTCATTGGGAATGAAAAGAAAATACAAGGAAAGAGTTACATGTAAAAACAAGTTGTGCGTTCCGGTGAAACGGGAACCCAGCCAAAGTGATAATGCTTCTAGTCATACAACTGTATTTTTCAATGCCTGTATGTTAGGCAAAAAAAAAAGTCTCCGGTTTCTGGTATGGAGCTTGCCCCAAAAGTGGTGCGGCGACGCGGCTTTTTTTTTTTTTTACCTGACTTTTTTTGCTTCAAATGTCGGCTGATGACTGCAAATGGTGCCCGACTAAACTTAGTGCAAATATATGGGAGTCCAGAGAGGCCACATAATGCTTATTCCCAATCATAACCCCATCTAAAAATACGTTAAAATTGTGCAGCAGCAGGATTCTAGTCAAACCAGTAAGTTTGGCGGTTTTGAGACATCATCTTTCATTGAAATCTTTTTTTTTCATTTTGCCGACGCGCATTGCTACGGCGACGCGCGCGCATACCAGAAACCGGAGACTTTTTGGGGGGCCTTACATGGTACACCTTGAGTGCGTTCGATTACTTCCCCCGCGGCAAGTGCTTACTCGTGCAAGCGCGACAGCTTGCAATTTACCTCTCACGTGACTTCTCGTGCTTACTCGAGCCCAACCCAAGTACTCGCCGAGCTGGTTACTCGGGTAAGTATCCCATAAGGCCATGCAATAAACATGGCTGCCAACGTGACGTCTGGCGGGCGCCTCAGGCCGTGTGCTTCCAGAGCTATGGCTACGTCTATTGTCAGCCCGTCCTCGCATATTTTCCATGGGCGTGGACCTAGACCTAGCTCTAGACAGTTGATTCGGATATGCAGCCTCAGTGTCATGTCAAAGTTCAACTTTCCAGCTCTTGCACGAAACTTTACCCGAAACCGTTCTTTATTGAGCTCTACTGCGCATGTCTGTCATCACGCGAGCAGCCAGGCGCGAGTAAGCTGGGGGAAGTAATCCAACGCACTCATTGTGTTCTAGCCCATTACTCCCACATTAAATCTCTAGGCCAAAGGTTGCGCTGCCACTAAAAAAAGATAAAATAGATTAATTTTAATGCATGAAACTTAAGTGACTGATCGATTCAAATTGCAAAGTGAATCGAATTGAAAATCCTTCTTTTTTTTTTACATTGAACCAAATAAAGAATTGACTTGAGTGGGGTTTGAACCAGCGACCTTCGGATTGCCGTTCTGGTGCTCTTCCAACAGAGCTTTCCAGCCCTATGTTGGCGGTTTCCCCATTTACTCAGTCTTTGTTCAAGGGGTGCTAGTCAGAAGCCATAAACCTGTTTAGTCATGGGTCAGGCACAAAGTCAGTTGGCAGAGCACTGGAACGGCAATCTGGAGGTCACAGGTTCAAATCCCTCTCTAGTCAATTTCTTTGCTCAACTTTTGAAAAATCATTGTATAGTTTACCTAAGTCAGTTTCCCTTTGTGGTTTTTTTTGAAAAGTTGTAATGAACAGAGATGAAACTGGCCTTGGCAAAAAAAATCTGAAATTGGACCTTGGGTCCGGGCAGCCGCAGTGCAGTGCACTTTCTCTATGGTGGGACCCAGTGAATTTTTCCAAAGGATCTGATCAGCGTTGGTCTAGGTGTTTCTACATGCAGTAGAATCACTCCATTCATGACTGGTAAAAGAGATTAAAACTACATGTACTACACATGTGCAAAGTTTTACGTGCCGTTTTCATCCACTTTTCATGGACTTTTCATGGAAAATATAATGAAAAGAAAAACCTTTTGTGAAAAAATCGTTAAATAATCATTTTTGTGGGATCGTTAAAAATCTGAAATTTCATTGGAAAAGTAAAAAAAATCTGATTTCAGATTAAAATCTGAAAAGTTTTATCTCTTGATGAAAAAGCAAAGCTTACCTGTACATGACCTCTGGATGTTGACCAAGTTCTAACATGGTAGAGGCCAAGAGATTGGCAGTTGTCTCATTGCCTATGGGTAGGATAGGAGAAGACGAAGAAGATTTTTTTGTAAATATGCGGGTAGCTAGACCATTTGTCGACTAGTGGTTGGTGTGTGAAACCACTGTACATTAATTGTAATACATTATGTCCCTAGTAATGATGTGCGTCGGGTCGGGTCGACCAGGCCAAACCGACCCGAAACATTAGAGATATAAACCGAATCCGAACCGAAACCGATCTTAACTCCCTCAAACCGACCTGAGCCGACCCAACAAAAAAATAAGGTAAAACCCACCCAAACTGACCCGACCCAACCCCCCCCCAAAAAAAACCCCCCGAAAACCTGGCTTGGACAAAGTGATCACTTTTTTGTGCCTACCCTTTACCCACGTGGCATGAATTCTTTTGCAAAATCATTGTCTCTCTCTCTGTCATACTCAGTGGGTTGATCGAGAGTAACTCCGCTTATTGAACAAACGCATGGTCACCACGCGGTATTATGAAAACTGTTACAATCTATATCTATTTCACTGTCAATCCCAATCCCACTGGAGAAATTAATACCGTTGGACTTTGATAGTGCGCTCGGTGGCCACACCACAAAATAGGCTTCGGTCACAGTGACTGTCAATAATATTGCATCACCTGAATTTCTCTGGTTTATTTCGGTTTATTTCGGTTTTTTCAAAAGATGGCTAAACCGACCTGACCCGACCCGAAAATGTAAATGCAGAACCGAAACAACCCGACCCGACTGAAAAGATGGACAAACCGACCCGACCAGACCCGAAGTCGGTTTCGGGTCGATGACCAAGGAATGCCTTGGTCACAGTTCATTCGACCCGAGATGTGATGACTTGTGATCGACTTGCAAGGACCTGTGGCGACCTGATTACAACCCTAGTCTTCATAATCATAAAGCCAGAGACGCCAAGATCACACAAAAGCTGCAGTCGTGTGACAGTGCGAGGCTGCAAGCAGCAAAAGCTGAAATTAATTTTTTTTTAAACGGTGGCATCTGGAAATTGGGCACAAAACCGGCTGAGGGTTCCCTAACGTGGCACACTTGAACAAGTCTCGGAAAAACCCAAGTTAGCATTTAAGAATTTCTGTAAAGTTGGCAAATTCCGATAAATCATCAGCATCTCCACTCGCGTGCCAAACGACAAGTTTGTCAGCAAATTATTTTCTTATTTTAGGGCGCATTTTAAATGGGATCATTGTGCACTTAAAAATAAAACGTGGTAATAATAGTCTGAAAATTATGCCAAAATTTAATTTTTTTTGTCAACTTTGTCACGGGTACGTAAATTCAGCATTTATGAAAGGGAATGTTTAAAGCTTGATGAATTTTCACTCTTAATACCTGTGTTATTTGAGATAAAACTTTTGCTCTACAGCAAGGAACTAGAGGCGAAAAAATTAAAGTGTGCAATGTTAGGGGCCGCGCCACATTAGGGGCTGCGCCACGTTAGGGGCCGCGCCACGTTAGGGGACATCAACAATATCAGCAGGGATTATTGCACATTGTTGCGACGTAAGTGTAACTGCGACAATATGAAGACAATAAGAATGAGACAGTGCTCAAAAAATCAACAGTTGCAAGAGTTGGAACGTTTCTACTTCTACGACTTGTTCTTGACAGACGGGAATCAATCGCAGGCGACCTGTGTTTGAATTTACGACGTCGTGCGCGCATCAAGATCATGCTTTTTCATTGTGTAGCCAATCAGCACACTACACCAACGCTCCGCGTTCTGTGCCACATCACGCAGTACGCAACGTGCGCACCAATCTCCATATATAGGAGATTGTTTACTACTACTCGCGAGAGGCACGTACCATACCATAGCTAGAGGGGTGTTTAAAAAAATCGTGAAGTAAAAGTGTTGAACAAAATCGTTAGAAATTTATAATTTTTTACTTGTTTCGAATTTTTGACGCAAAGGTATTTATGAATGGATATATAAGTACGTGTAAGACCGTATCAGGGGAATGGGAGCTGATAATGGGCCGAGCCGAACCGGCAAAGCACATAATTATTCCCTTATTGTTAATTAAGTCGCATGACTGTCTATGCCGTGAATCGTCGTGGATCGTTGCGTCATGAGTGACATTAGCATGGTTGCGATTTTTCTGTGTCCAGATGCCGCTTGTTCCAAGAGAATCACACGATTTCTCAGTTTTGTGACCTGAGCATTATTTTTCTGCTTGATGCCGACGGTTCCGTCGTGGCGCAAACAAATCGCAGGTCGACCTGAGGCTGGCTTAAGACTTGGTAGGTCTGTTAAGGTAGAGCCTGAAGCTCAAGCATGGTCCAGCGGTTACGGTGTTTAACCCACGCACCACGGTGCAGGGGTTCGAATCCTGCCAGGAACATGGTGTTTGTGCCCTTGGGCAAGACACTTCACTACAATTGCCTCTCTCCACCCAGGAGTATGAATGGGTACCTGTGAGGGTCGAAGACCGATTGAGCGCTGATATCGGCTGCCGCGTGTCCCATGGCCTGATAAACAGGGTAATAATTGTAAAATGCTTTGAGATTGTTGATATGATGGAATATTAGTACGATCATTATTATTATTAAGCAGGAGATACAGCAAAGGCTTTGAGAACCACCCCTGCCCCCCACAGGATAACAAAACATCACCGGAGCTCACCAGCCAGAAAGAAGGTGGTGAATTCATCCACCATCTCTTCCATATCCAGCCCTCCCGAGGTGGAAAGCTGGCAGGCTTGAAGGATGAAGGACAAGATGTTGTTGCTCAGTTGCTCCCCTCGGCCTAGAGCGTTCATCTGCTTCTCAATGATCACCTTGCCGGTCTCTCTCAACTTGCCGATGGCCTTGCGTACCTTGCTGCGGTATTCCCGCGCTGATCTCGACGGGTTGAGCTGTGTTTTGAATACAATGCAGTGGTTATTGGTGAGTCCAGCGGCATATCCAGCTTTTGATGTTGGGGGGGGGGGTTGTAACATCAAAAACCATTTTTGTCATTCGGTCAGACGTCTATATACCATTTATGGGAATAGTTAATGAAAAAATATTTAAAAAAATAATTTAAAAATGAGGAATGTCCCCCAAAATCTTGTTTTGAGTAATCAACGCCTAACGTCGGATGTATTAGAAAAATCAAAATTTTCCCTGTTCCTTCATTTCCTGTATTATTGTAATTAATAGATTTCCTTCCGTATAATGTGTGGATATCAAAAAGTATATATGTCATTATACTAACACATTGTCCTATAAGTTGGTATGTAAACAATTCTATGCAAAGCCCCCTACACCAATGGTTTGTGTAGAAAATATCAGACGGTTATTTATTACTCCCCATCACGCTCAATTAACTTCGGCAGCGACCGTACCGTAAGCCCCATTTTAGAGAACAAGTTAAGACTGGATCACGATACCAACGTTTACGACAACGTGGTTGTAATGTATATTCATACGAATGTGAATATTTGTTGTTAATTTAATTTCTTTTCAATTTAATTAGTATACATGTATCCACCCGATATATTTCAGCCATATTGTATGTACATATTGATTTATTAGCTTAGTTTGTAACTACGGGTTCCAGGTCTTGCACAAGCATATGTGCTTTTAACCTGGATCCCTCATATAATTTCTGTCATCCTTTATATAGATTCTTGTTAATTATAGTTTTGTGATATGATATGAAAAAATAAACCACACACCATAAACCATTGTGAGTGTTTGTTTTAAAGGGAATGTACAACATTTGCTTTTGCTAACATTTTCCGACATAAATGGATTTGGAGGATTGGTATGTTTCACGTTTTGGGCTTGTAGGTGCTGGAAAAACCAAGAAAACCAATCATGTTCTTGTAGTGTGGTTCCCTGACCCCACTTAAGATGAAACAAAGCAATTTATAGACTTTGGAGAATTGTAAGGTCAGATAATCAGTCTAGCAGGCTTGTACCCTTTTTACAGGTGTGTAATCAATTGCAAAGAAAATGCAAAATAACTTAATATAAAAATATAGAAGCAGTTTTTGAAAAAAAGGCAGTTTTCTCCAACACTGGTCGGCTGACCAGCGTTGGAAAAATACTATTTTTCTTGAAAATGTGAGCACACCAGGAGCCACGATTTTACAGGCTGCTTTAGACTGTCATTCCCTAACAATCCAGTAAGGTATTTCGTGATTACTTGATCATTTCGTTTTTTGATTTTTGCAAATGTTGTATCTTCCCTTTAAGGCAGAGAGAAAGGTTTATATTCTACACCAAAAGAGTTTTTTGTTTATTTATTAGTTTCTTATATGTTTTTAACTTTTACTAAAATATGGCCGGACAAATTGTGACGTGAGTTGCCGTAACGCGAGTTACCAAAATATATCCCTGTAAAGATTTCATGACTGTTTTTTGAATCACTGAAATGGTGGGACATAACTTACACTCTACTGATGTAAGGGCACTGAAAAGATTCTTCCAACAGTGCACAGTTTGCGAAAATTTTGAAATGCAAGGTATTTTAATTTTTGCCAGGTTATTTTGTTGTAACATGAGTTACGGATAAAACAAGTGCAAGTGCACAATAAGCTCTGGCCGCCTTGCATTAAAGTCTTGCATGAAATGATTGTGCGTACAAGCCCGGGCCGCTGTCCCACACGAAAATCACGCGCTGAAAATTGACCAAAATAAGCCCCCTAAGTTTCCCATAAAATAGCGCGCTATATACCATTTGACTATAACATAACTGCACATTATCTTGCCTCCATATACAAAATTTCATTAACAACTGTACGAATTGACACAAACAATTTTTGTTAAGTATTTCATTTCTTTTGTTTGCTTTTTTCTTTAAATTAAACTTTGGGAGATATATTTTATGGGAAACTTTGGGGCCCTTCTTGGTCAATTTTCCGGGGACAGACATAGGCAAAATAGACGCGCATGCGCATCGATTGAGACAAAGCCCGTTTTCCATTGACTGTGCATTGACTGACGACGGCATGGCAGTTGGTCAATTTTTGGTCAATTTTTAGGGAAAGACGGACAGACAGACAACAAGACAGACAGACCGACCAACGGACCACCAAGTGACATGTAGAAGCTTCTGCTAGAGCTTAAAAACATATTGCAAAATCAACAGACTTTAATTTTGTCGGTCTCTTGTTTTGTATTTTAGTCACTTTACTCTAGGAATCTTCTGTAAGAAAAATCCATACTTACTGCTTTGACCGTCACAGAATTAGTGTAACAGAAGACCTCCCTTTAAATGTAATGCGAGTTACATGTACCATGGAATTGCCAAGAACTCCAATTTTCAATTTAGGTTCAAGAAGAATTTTTAATAGAAATATGAACTGCTGCTACTTTTACCTTGTGCCACGGCTTCTCAAACTGTGTTTTCATCCCGTTCAGGGCCGTGTCGAATTCCTCATTGAACGAGGTGACCTTCTCAGAATCAAACTGGTGGAAATCGGAACCGAAAGCAACCTAGAATATGAACAAATGAAAGAAAAGGAAATTGCATGCGATTTAAATACTGCTTCAACATCATATAAATCTCTGGGGTACAGCTTGTCCCAAAATACCCACAACATTTTTTTTGCGAGACTCTATAAACACGTACATGTACCACGATTATTTTATATCATTTTAAAGCATGGAATCTCAATTTTATCCCTGGAAAGTATTGGTTTGATTGGCAAAAGGGTTTTAAAATTGTCCATGTTGCAGGCATGCAACTGGGAAGTCACAAAAAAAGAGGAAATTCAAATTTTTCCCAGACTTTGTACAGTGTTTTTCTGTTTTTAATGGCACACATGGGAAGTTAAAAAAGAGGAAATCAGTTGATCCGAGGAAAAGTTGCATGCCTGATGTTGAACTAAAGGCATGTCAAAATTTGCGACAATATAATTCTTTGTCCTAAGAGTCATTTTCACCAAAGGGCGACAGTTAATAAGCCATTTGCGAGTTAAATTTGAATAAAATCTGGAACGCTGACTTAATACAATGCTTTGCACGTTCTAACCTAGCATTCTCCTGACCAAAGAGACTGTTACTATATCACGTGATTCGGGGCAAGCCTTATGCTAGCAACCCCCAGCTCCGGCATGGTCTGGTGTCTTTGTGCCATTCTCATCCATTGTGAACAATGTATTGGTGCTGAGCGTCTCTTGAGTAACTATGCAAGAGCTTGCCCCGAATCATGTGATATAGCAACAGTGTCTTTGGTCTGGAGAATTCAAAGTTAAAATGTGCCAAGCGTTCTGAGCAAGTCAGTGTACCAGATGTTTTTCAAATGTAAATCCCAAAGGGTATAGGTTACTCGCAAATGGCTTATTGTAGCCACAATAAGGTGTGTCACCCTATTAGCATTCAGTAGAATAATAATAACAATAATAATAATATTATCATTCTGACCTTAGCTATGATATCTATGGTAGCTTTGTTCAGCTCATGTAGGAGTGCCACAGCTGTCTTGCCATCGGCCTTGGACTTCAGGTAGGCCACCAGTAAATCCGAGCTAGCATTGAACTGATTGATACAAGTCTTCAGGTAGCTGTACTCATCAAGAAAACAAAAGAAAAAATCAGGTTGGCAATCAGCCCAAGTTAATCAATTTGAAATTTTGTTCAGCCAGATCCCCTCTAAATGATTCTGAATAACTACCTGTATATGTTCCAAGTTTGCCGCATTGCTCATGAGACTAGCATCGTGACTTTGGGCGTGATCTCTGATCACATGCCAAAATGCACCCAAAAACTAGCACCAAATGAACACAGACATTGATCAATTGGGAGGCTTTCATTAACAGGGTTCCAGCACTTTTAGGACAATTAAATTCCCTGACTTTCCAATGACTCTTCTATGACCCGATTGTGAGCATCTATGACCAAGTTCATCAAAATGTAGATCAAAACTGTAAAACATGTGCTGTGAAAGGTGTTCAACAAACACAAAATTGCAACAAAATGCAAAATTTGTCGTATTTTGTCGGGTATAAAAACCACATTTCCGATGGTAAATTATGAACACACCAAGTTTAAAATCTACAATCAATTGGTCCTCACAAAATTCCATTACTTTCTATGACTTTAGTCATTTGTACAAACTACCGTGAGTTTTCAGACCTTGAAATTGAACATAAAATTCCCTGACTTTTTTCCAGGTTTTTTCCAGGCCACATAAACACTGTTTCAACATTGGGGCTGGATAGCTCAGTTCAAAGAGTGCAGTGGTCTAGCGGTCACAGATTCAAATAGCTCAAGTCAAATAGTAGAGAAACTAGTCTATTTCTCTAGATGTCGTTCATTTGATGAAAATTGTTTCCAATTTAACAACTTCTATTCCTTAGGGGTTTTTTTCTGACAAATTTGACAACTTCCAGCTTTTCCCTCCCATAAACTTCTTAGGGAGGGGGCAGTTGAATTAGACAGATGAAACTGCGGGCAGAAGTCATAGCGCTCACCTGCGGTTGAAGGCTGGGTTGAAAATTTCCCGTCTCCTGAGCCATAGTGCATGGTTCCTCTCAGTCACCAGACCTCGGCCCAGGAAACGAGCTCCAAAGATGGTAGCGATGCCGTCATAGGTCCAGCCTTTAGGGAACCGGAGACTCCCGGACACCAGGATTTCCTTAAAACAAAGACAAAAAAATTGTCAAAGTATTTTAAAAACCACAAAAAGCAAAACACCTCCATTGGTTTCATGATTCCCTCACTGGGGTTTTGAATACTGTAGCGTGATATCATTGGGTTTTGTCCTAACCTAGCGAAACGCAAAAAAAAAGGGAAAAAAGGGAACTCGCAGACAGGATTTGCCAACTCCAGAAGAATTCTCAACTTTTATTCCAGCAGACACTTTTTGCACAACTGCAACACTCTGTGATTCACTACAGCTCTGCTTCCAAGCATAGAAAAACACAGTTACTCAATTATGTAAGTAATTTAATGAGTAGTTAGTATTTTATTGTTGCTGTCAACATGTCTTCCCCTGAGTCAGTACAACAGGGGAGGACGAACTGTTCCTTCTTCTGTAAGTTCAAACGAAGAAAGAACGGTGCATATAAATCTTTTGTGGACTTGGCATATGTATAGAAACAATTTATCATAAGCTTTGTGTTGATATAAAGTTTACTGGCACTTTCTCAATAGATTTTCAGTTCGGCCTATCGTAAATAGGTCATTTATTGCATTGATGATTGAGCTGTGGTGCTCCGAGTCAAATGGTGCTTGGAGCTGCCCTTGGGCCTTTGTGGGTGCCCAAAAAACGGAAGAGCTATGGTCTCCGAGTCAAATGGTGCTTGGATGAGCTGTTGGTGCTCTGGGCCTTTGTGGTGCCCAAAATTTGGATACTGATGATAATAATAATGTGCTGCATGGATGATGGGTCGGCTGCCCAGATTTCGGTACCCGACATTTTTTGAATAAAAACCTTCTGGCTGAGGCGTGCACACACACAATTTTCTGTGTTGCTTGTGATTTTTTATTTGTCTGCAATACAAACACAAATTTATCTTAATGTAACAAACAAGTTGTACCGTAATTTTCGGAATATAAGCCGCGGCTTATACGTTGAATTTGCCCATGAAAATGTTTACTGCGGCTTATACACAGGGCGGCTTATACGCCGAGACTTGAAGAATAAAAATGACATGTGTATTTAATGTACTGGTACAAGAAGAGATGTGTTGCTGAAATAATTATCAATTAAGAAAGTCATTAACAAACTGAAAGCACGTCCCACAAAAAGGTACCAAGCGGTAAAAAGTACGGCTAGTGAAAGCTGTCCCTTGGACGGACATCGACAACCGGCCGTACGTGATGCTGCATGCATGCTGTATGCAGGCTGCATGGATTCCCCATGGACCACACCATTTGTGGTAATAAAGGGGTGTACTTTCTTGGGAACAATAATTACCAATATTTCCCCTGTTTAAAAAAAGAAAAAAGACAACTAATACTTTTTATGGAGTTTGAAACATATCTTTATTTGATAATCAGTTGTTCAACGTCACAATATAATTATTTTTCTTGAAATGTATTCAAGAAACGATGTAAAACAGGGGTGAAATCACCCCTTACGAAATTAATGGATTGGTCCATAAAAATCTCAGCATCGTGTTGACTGTTTTCGAAGAAAGTTACAATCCAAACTTGAATTTTGACGTTACTACTCGTTAGTAATCACAACAATTTGATAAGTTTTGCTGTAAAAACAGACTTGTTTATCCTTTAGGACAAAACAACTCAGCGTCTGTTGCCACAAAGCAGGATTTGTAGCGCTCCAGTCAGACAGCACACGGTGGGTTGCATACTCTCTCAAGTGCTGGGGGAAAAATAATGTCATTCGCCGGCACAGGCTCACTGACGAGCCAGCTGGCAGCAATTCCCGTTTTTTATTTCTCATCATCAATTTCCATATTTGTTTGTAAGAGTAATCGACTGTAAATGATTTGACATAACTTTTGTGGCCCTTTTATAGCTTTCGTAGTGTAAATGGAACTGGTTCAGAGCATTTTGACTAGAATTTGGAGGCCTTACAAAATTGAACCGCTGCTGTTGGTGCGGCTTATACGCCGATGCGGCTTATACGCCGACTTCAAATCTTAATTTGCAGATTTTTGCATGCTGCGGCTTATACGCCGCGCGGCTTATATTCCGAAAATTACGGTAATGCCTCCGGCATCTTGCCAAACCTTTCCCGTGTCCAGAACAAAAGAAACCCACTTAAATAAAAGCAGTATATTTATAGACCTATTTCCAGAGTGCGTGCTATTACCCAAAAAAAAAAAATGGGCCAGCGTACCTGCGACCCAATGCCAACAATGCGCCAACGGAGGGCTCCGTTAGCGGCGGCTTTACAGAGAAACAACAAAGGAATGTAAAACTGCCTGTTACAATGCTGACCAAAAGGGTCGAGTTAAAGTTTCCAGAGCGCATGCTGTTACCCAACAAAAGAACTGGGTCAGCGTACCTGCGACCTAATGCCAACAATGCACCGACGGAGGGCTCCACCGGTGGCGGCTTTACAAAGCATCAACAAAGGGATGTAAAATAAGCCCTTTACATTACTGATTAAAAGGGTCGAGTTAAAGTTGCCTTCCCTGTGCGCTTTAACAAATTTGAATTTTGTTTATCATCATTTTTTCCCGTTTTTGGGGGACGTCTGCAACCCTCTGTATAAAAAAGGCTTTTTGTCTTGCGAACAAACAGGTCTGCTGTGCAGGTAGCAGTGTCGAAGTCTTCGTTCTCGTACTCGTACTCGAGTACACGCAAGTACTCGACTATCACTGTATCAGTACTCGAAAATTATTTGGACTCGGCCGGTACTCGATTCTTTTTACTCGAAATTTGGCACAGACTCGTTGGTTTGGACTCGGTACTCAACTCCGGTACTCAGGAGTACAAATTAGAGTACATTTTTAAAAATTACTTCTATAGCTCATCCTGGAACGCAACGCAAGTGCGGCGGCGCGGTTGCAGTCTGTATTACGACCATAGATACAGAATAAAAAGACTAAATTGGCAGCGCGAGCATATGCCCCCATTCACTGTGCGATAAATGTGCGCCATTTTCGTGGTCTCTTGTGGACGCGCAAAAAATTAACATAATCATACAGCTACATGTATCTGTCCTTCAGCACGTGACCTAGCTCAACGTGCCCAAAGCTATGCGCAACGGGTTTGTACGCGCTGCGCACACGTGCCTCTTTCCGATTCAGTTCAATAATTTTATTTTCTGCAAACTTATAAACCTGTAGGCCTAAACCTTTACATTTCGCAGGCATTTACTCAAGAGAAAATGGTTTTCAGTAAAAGCGTTTGCTTAATTTCCATTCATACAGATGCGAGAATATGGTTAAAAATTGGTAGTAAAGGCAAGTGCCATGTTTTATTCATACAAAAATGTGCTTTGTGAACTATTAATATTAATTTTTTGCAATTAACATTAATAAATGCAGTATTTTTCTGCGCAGAATTATTTGCTTTATAATTTCAAGGTTGCCCCAACCCGGCCTGGAAAATGACAAGTACATATTTGAAAAGTGCATATTTGAAATATTCACAAACAATGGACAATGAATAATGGGCTATAACCAACAGAATTTTGTTCATTTTGTATCAACCAACCATATACAAATGTCCTACCATAGAGCAAGGACCCAAGGAGTCAGAACTCTTGGGCGATTTACATTTTGACCATTAACATACATGTACCAATCCCTCGGGAATGTCTATAGCTACAGCACTGTGACCGCAAGCCTCGACCATTCAAAGCGTGAATGCCAGCAGCCTTTGAACACGATGATCGCCGCCGCCTTTTTAGTTGGTAACCAACAACCTCCCTATATGCTGCATAATAAGTCATGTCACGTCGCTGCTCTTTTTTGAAAAATATAATTTACGACAAGATAGGTTTTTACAACTGCGCAGTTGTTAGATGTGAGTTATGAACTCAAGTTAGCAATGTGTAGTTGTTGGTGCTTAAAAGCGTTATCTGTCCCTGTAATTTGGAGATAAATTGGATTTCTTTCAGATAAGTTTTCATGTATTTTCAGACATTTTAATTGGCAATATATCATTGATGAAATGTGTTTTTTTGGAAAATTTCACAAGTTTTTACACTAAAGGTACAGAGCATTTTGTTCTTCATGAAATGATTGTTTCAGTGATGTTGACCACATTGTTAGCCAGTATTAGCCAACTCCGAACAAACACTTCAAAATCATTCATTTTTAGCGATGTATGACAACTGCGCATGCGTATTTACCATGGTACTGTCTACGAAGCCATGCAAACTCCTTTTTCTGGCATTAGTGAGCGCGGATCTCTATTGTGTCGAGATTAGCGTAGTGAGCAACTGAGCAAGCTGGCGCCAGGTGCTTTCTATTGTAGCTTTCGAGCGCGGCGACCATCATTTTACTTTTGAAGTCTTGGAGTACGAACTCCTTGGGTCCTTGCTCTATGGTCCTACATACCTTAATGGCCCGAGTGTCATGGAAGTAGACCATACATCGGTGAAAGAACCAAACGATGCAAACTGGCCCAATCTCATCACTCCTACCATGTACAAAACGTAGAAACAAGTCAGTGTGTATTATAAGCAAACATTAGGCCTATGGGTTGCATTTATCTGCAACATATTACAAGAAGATTTGAACATGATCATGCCATGAATATCCTCTTTAAAAGTAAAACCAAAATTGAGCCATTCAATTCGGGTTTTCTGACCAGGGTTAGTGATCTCTCTTATCTCCAGGGTCTATCTGGATCCTTAAGGCAGTTTTAGCACCAGATGAATGCCTACCACCAGCAGGGACTGATTAGTACCGCTTGACTGTACGGCTTGCCAGCATACCTGAATCGATCCTCAGTGGCCTAAATCCACCTAGATTTTTCACGAATTCAATATCCAACATAATGGTCGTTTTTGTCCAGTACAAATGAAACCATGTCTTCTTTTTTTGATCATTGAATTTGATGCACAAACAACGGAAATCATGAATTTGTCGGACTGTGCCTGTACATGTAACATGTATGGGGTTTCAGAAAGGTTGGATCCAGCAGGAAGTAGACAGTACCATTTGGACTGGCCTCCTGTGGTGCAACTAATTGCCTTAACCCTAACCCACCTCACTCCTCCAAAATCCTCCTGGCGGTTTTGGAGGATTCTAGAGGATTGAGGATGAATGGTGATTGAATCAAATGAGGATTCTGGAGGATTGAGGATGAATGGTGATTGAAGCACATGAGGATTTTGGAGGATTGAGGATGAATGGTGAATGAAGCACAAGAGGATTTTGGAGGATTGAGGATGAATGCATTTTGAGGCAGGACTGTCTGATGATTTTGAAGGATTTGGCGTTGGTTATCCTTCATTTAAACACGAGTGCAAAGTTTTGGGATGAGGAGGATTTTGGAGGATTGAGGATGAATGCATTTTGAGGCAGGACTGTCTGACAATTTTGAAAAATTTAGGCGGAGTTTAAAAATTTTGGAGGATTTTGGATGGTTGTAAGCAACAAGGGCCTAGGGGGTTAGGTTAAAGGGAAGATATAACATTTGCAAACATCAAAAAACAAAATGATCAAATTATCACGTAATACCTTACTGGATTGTTAGGGAATGACAATCTAATGCATCCTGTAACATCAAGGCTCTGGTGTGCTGACATTCTCAAGAAAAATTGTATTTTTCCAATGCTGGTCCTAATTTGTCCTGTTTAGTTATTCCGCATTTTCTTTGCAATTGATTACACACCTGTGAAGGGGTACAAGCCTTCTACACTGATTCTCTGACCTTATAATTCCTTAAAGTCTATCAATTGCTCCGATTGGTTTTCTTGGTTTTTCCAGGATACAAGCCCAAAACTTGAAACAAGTCAGTTTAACAATATTTGCTATAACATGCTAATCCTCCAAATCAATTTATGTCTGAAAATTGCAGCAAATGCAAATGTTGTACGTTCCCTTTAAGGGATTAACCAGAAAATGTTACCACTGGACTCAGTGAAAGATAAACATCAAAAGCCTGGTATGAAAAGGCCCGGGTTTTTAAAAGGGAAAATCACCTCATGTTATTTTTCATGAATCTGGAATACATTTATCACTCAAACAAACACCTGCCTGGTTCATACCAGTACTCAACACAAAAATGAATGTGCAAGGAAATTTGTCAAGTCATGGCGTATTTCACCAAAGCTCTGATATATATTTTGGTGCCAAAGAAACGGGCGGGGACGCTTAACATTTTTTTTTTTTTTTCGCCTAGGGGCTGTTCACAATTATCAACATTTTCACAAGTGTACAAAGAGTACACTTTTTCAAGACCCCCCCCCCCTAAAAGTGTACAAAAAAACTGTTGATTTTTGTTCACTTAAGTCTATATAGACACTTGCATGTGACTTCATTGAACAGCTTTTCGCAGTCTGCATTTCGCCACAATCTCTGGCCCTCACACACAACATCTGCTCGTTTGCATGGATCATTCACAAACACAAAAGCATTTACAAACTCCATTCTTGTGGACAATACATCCTTGTCGAATGAGGAATTTCAACAATTGATCCAAGTCAACAGCGCGGCTACACTATTTATTGTCTGGCCGTTAAAAACATGCAGTGGATATGGACTATACATACATGTACAGGTACAGTACATTTTCATGTACGTGTGTAGGACAATACCGCCCCTGCTGTACACAATATGTTCATGGGATGCAATGCGGGGCCTGGCGCGGGGCGTGACCGGCTCGGCAAGTGCTCGATCGGCATCGGTTGCGGCTGTCCGCTGTGGCGACGGGCGAGAAAAAAAAAAGTTGGGCGGGCATTAACGGGCGAGAAAACATATCGACATTTAAAAAAAAAAAAAAACGTACGGCATCCATTAACCCCCTCCCCCAGCGTACGGTTTGTACGCTCGTGAAAATGTTGATAATTGTGAACGGCCCCTAATTGAATGAAACGTAAAACCTGAAAACTTGTACGGAAGAAACTAATTTAATTTGTTAAAGACCACAAGGCCTAGGAGAGCATTTTAAATTGTAACTCCGGTTTGGGTTTTTTCACAATACTCACCAGTCCTTGACGACATCCTCAAACAGTCCGCCTTCAGCTACACGGTCCTTGAAATCTTGAATATTTCCCAAGAAAAAGCTGTCAAAACAAAAGACATCACAGTGACGGCTAAACTTTGAGGATGCTATCATGTATTATCAGCTCAGTACGGTAGTCTGAAAATTTGGGACTCTAATACTGTGTATGAGAGTCCCAAAACTTAAGATACTAAAAAACATGCCAAAAGACTACCGGGTAGTTAGGCCAAAAAACAAATTGTTCTGCTTACGATAACATGGCATTTGAAAATAGGGTAAGTAGGGAATTTTTTTTTCCCCATTTTTTTTTTGTGTACGATCATATGGAAGCTTCTGCGTGTATTCAAGGGTAAAAAGGTAGACATTGATGGTTTTGGGTGTTATTTTCTCATTTTTCCAATAAAAAAAAATTAGGGTAGGGGCTGTCAGAAAAGGTTAGGTAGGGAAACTGGAAGCAAAACTATTTTTTTTTTGGCCTTAATAAAAAAAAAATGACAAAAATAAAGTTAAAATTTGACAACCTATAAGCCCCCGAGGCCCCCCCCCCCCCCCCCCCCCCCCCCCAACCGTATGCGCTACTTGTATAGTGCAGCCTAAAATATAACATCAGTCTAGCCAATTTTTTTTAATTATGCACAATGGAAGACAAATTCAAGTCATTTATCATGGGTACAAACCTTCTTCTTTTTGGCCCTGGAATATGACGGTACTTGTGATGCTGATAGTGCAGAAACACAACGGCGAGGATAAAGGCTGCCAGACACACGGACAGAATTGATGCGCTGGCTGCCAAAGCAACCACACCAGCAGACACCATCATAAACGATTCCCCTGCAAAATAAATTTACACCAAACTTGACAGTTTCGATATTAGTTGGGTCCATTCAAGTTGGTGAGTGTATGATTTATTTGGCTGCGTATGAGTTGGCACGTATATCCGCTCCGTTCACAAGTACCCCCTCACCAGCAAAGAAAGTACAGTTGGGGGTGACCGACCGACGTCATCTTGTCTGACTGCAATTTTGCCGCGACGTGCAGTCACTGCCGTAACACTGCTTGTACGTGGTACAAATCCCCTGGTGTACGTACGTCACACACAAAGTACAAGGAATGGTGCGCGTCAACCAGCTTATAATGTCCCGCCAATGGGACGTCGTTGCTAGGTAAAAGGGCGCCCTCTTCCGTTGGCGCACAGAGCCCATATAGGCATTGACCAGCTCACAGAAAGCAAAATCTAAAGGGTCCACGACATGAATTTTACTCCAGAACCTATTTTGTACAACTTTCTACTCCTCTTAAAAGTATGAACTATTTTTGACATCCATTTTTTTGGTTAAATGTATTGAAAAGTACACTTCTTTCAAACATTAAAATCTTTCCATGCTTTCCAGACAACTGAGGGTGCTGTTGCTGTGATGTCATTTTAGGAAGACACCGTTTACTAGTTTGAGGTTTTCTATTCAAATTGTGAACCCAAACATTTCCTCATTGAAAACATTTCTTAAGAAAGAGTGCTCATTGGCTTTCTGTCATATACTGACACCTCAAGGAATCGCCAAAGAAAAGAAAATTTACAACAGCAAAATATCCAAACTTCTGGCAACTTTTGATGCTGAACTGAATAGCTGTAACACTGAGGTTTCTGCCTGAAATGACATCACACTTTTGCTCATGAATATCAACGTATGGAAATTTGTATTAACATTAAAACAGAAAAGGCACCAAAGTTACCAATAATGGCACCAATAAAGTTAAATGGAGCACAAAAGTACATTTTTAAAGGATATGGTAATAATATTACCTGAAACTTTCAAGAAATAACGGAGGAATTTGCAGGATTGAGGCTATATGCTATTTTTCCATGAGGCCAATTGGAGGATTGTGCAGGATTGAGGCTACATCCTAGCAAAAAGGCCTAGGGAGTTAGGGTTAATTGTCTTCATATCATCTCAATATTGCAAAATGTTGAAAAGACATGAATCTTGGACTGAGAAACGTTTCCAATTTTGTTAGCAAATACTTGAAAAAGTGACTTGACTCTCCATAGACATGTACACAACCCTTGAAGGTTTTTTTTTAAAACCAATCCTGTCAAAACATGAGCATATATATGCGTGTACACGTAGGTATACTTCTTTCCATAAGACACATGCACGCAAAGAAAAAACAAAGAAAATACAAAATTACACAAATAGACAAGACTTCACATAAATACTTGGAAAGATTCCAGGAGTAATTGCAGAATACCCCGCCACTCGTAATACACCCCTAAAATCTCTGGCTACGCGGTTGGAATCACTGCAAAAGAAACAAGTCAAGTCCATTGCCAGCTACGCGGATACAGAGAGGGGGTCTCCTTGATATTGCTTGAGAACGAATCAACACAAAAGGAATCGGAGTTAAATTGCTGAAAAAATTCTAAGTCCAAACCAACTACCCTGTTGCCGGCTATGCGACTACGAAATGGGAGTCCCCTTGAATATGCTTGAGAACGAAGTAACACAAAAGGAATAGGAGTTAATTGCTGAAAATATTCTAAGTCCAAACCAACTACCCTGTTGCCGGCTACGCGGCTACGGAGTGGGAGTGCAGTGGAGCATGACGTGTACCATGTGTACTGTGTAGGCCTAGCGCTGAGAGGATTATTGAGGACAATCAACCGTGACTCCGTAGCCGGCTAAGAGGTGCATAGATCGAGTACTGTAGCGGGGTGATCTGCAATTGTGCCAGATTCCCATATTGGCCAGATGTCACTTGTCATCCTGTGCACAAACCCTATGGGACTAGTCAGAAAATTTCTAAGTGTTTTCTCAGTATAACTAAAAGTTAAAAATTTGTCCCAGCTAATTTTGATTTTTTTAGGACATATTATCACTTTCTGATGGCCGATAGGTCATTTAAGGGAAAAATTACTGATGATGGTCAGATATGGGAATCTTTCCAAAAACTTAGACAAAAACATACACTTGATACAGTATGAAAATCTAACAGGGGGTTACAGGCGAGTTGAGAGAGCATTAAAAACACTTAATGCACATTCATACAAAAAAATCTGTAAACAAAGTAAAAAAATTGGCGTATTCTTGATGAAAAAAATACAAACAAGTACATGACATTGGCAATTAAGGGAAAAAACCATAGGCCTACTGCGCCAACACTCATATTCATTATGTCCTGAAAAGTACCAAAAATTGTAAATCTGATGAAGAAACACTGTTTTAAGTAGCTTGAGTAACTCCAGCTGATGCTCATATTCATTCACATGTATGTGAATGAATATGAGCATGTCAGCTGTACTCCTAGACTCCACTACGTGGAGCCTCAGTCATAGTTCTAGGACCGGACATGCTAGTAGGAGTATGTCAGCTGGAAAATTCTACCTCCATGGCTGGAGTTACTCAAGCTAGTTTAAAGGTGCACAAATTCTTTGAGTGGTGGCCCAGTATGGAATTTTTTCCCAATGAAGTTCAAGTTGCACTTGCACACTCAAACAGTAAATCTACTTACAAACTTCCAGCTGATATTTCCGCAATTCACAGAAGATTAATTACAGGATTGCGAGCTAACGAAGAGGTGCAGCGCAGGTGACGAGTAGATCATTCAATAAACGGAATGCGAAGATTGTGGATTATGTAAACCCCGGCTTCTAATTCTTTTCACGAATACAATAGAGGGCGCCCTATATATTTGAGGCCATCGTCCGAGAGCGCGACAGGTATGTTTTATTTTACTTTTTGCGTTGCCAAAACCCCTTTATATGGCGATTTTTATCCAGTTCACCAGGCATTAAAGACTTTCTGCTGAGTTGTAGGAAAGATTTCCCTACACGTACGTTACTTTTTTCAATCGCTTTTCAGCGGCGTAGCAAAGTAAGTAGGCTCTAACTGTGTGTGTGTTGGGGGGGGGGGGGGGGGGGGGCGGGGGCCGGGCATGGGGGGGGGGTAGGCCTAAACATGGTAAAAAATTCTTGAGGGGGGCACTTGCACATTTGTGCTCAAATGTGACGCCACATCCGTGTTTGTAACAAAATTGGAAATGTTTTTCAATCCCGCCGCTCTCGGTCCTAGAATTCATGTCTAGTCTTCTCGTCATTTTTGCAATGAATGACCTTCATTGATGGAAAGAGTTGCGTCAGGTTGCAACATTCTTTCCCACATTTTTTCCCCGGGGGGGGGGGGGGGGGGGGGGGGGGGGGGGGGGGGAGAGAGGGGCTGGTACTGTCTGTTGATAGGTGGCGCCGTTCAAAAGCACCATACTCCATAGACTTCAAAAGAGAAAATTATGCACACTAATAAGCTTGGGCACTCTTTACAAATATTTTTTTTTGGGGGGGGGGGTATTAGTGCTAGTGAGAAAAGGACATTTCAATAAAAAAGGGCAGTCTTTACAAAGTATTTGGGGGGGGGGGAATACCCCCCTTATCCCTCCCCCCCCCCCCCCCCCCCCCCCCCCTCTAGGTGCTTGAGTTATGTGCTGAGCTAAACAGATTAGAAGGCGTAACTAACCAAAGAAAGCACATCGTTTTTGTTTGTTGTTCGGTCAATTTAAAAAAAATTGGTGACAAACGTCCGAGCAGGCTGTAGAAGATTTGTACAACAATATCTCACAATCACATGTACAGAGTACGTGATTTCATTGGTTAGTATAATGTTTTTAGCTCACCAGGTAGCTCAGGTTTGCCGAACACGGTGAGATTTTCGCCTCGCGAGGCGAAAGAAATTAAACAGGATGGAAATTGGCCTCACGGCCTCGCGAGGCCGAAAAAATAGCAAAAATTCACCGCACACGGTGAGCTATGTGCTCAGCAAACGGCCTCGACAGACTGTTTGCTTAGCACGTAGGTCTTGTGTGCAGCGTGCTTCATACTTTCGCTGTTTACGAAGTCTATGGAGAGTCATTGGTCAAGTGCATTTTCAAAGTATTTTTTGACAAACTTGGAAATGTTGCTCAGTCCGAGATTCATATCTTTTAAACATTATTGAAATGACTGACCTAAATTGAGATAATATATGATGAAAAAAAGTGGCTTTTTGCTCACCACGTAGCTCTCGTGTGCGGCAGGCTTCATACTTCAGCTATGTACCAAGTCTATGGAGAGTCAAGTGCATTTTCAAAGTATTTCCTAACAAAATTGGAAACATTTCTCAGTCCCAGATTCATGCTTTTTCAACATTTTTGCAATGACTGACCTTCATTGAGATAATATATGATGAAAAAAAAGTGGCTTTTTGCTCAGCACGTAGCTCTCGTGTGCGGCAGGCTTCATACTTCAGCTATTTACGAAGTCTATGGAGAGTCAAGTACATTTAAGTATTTTCTAAATTGGAAACGTTTTGAGTCTCAGATTCATGCTTTTTCAACATTTTTGCAATGACTGACCTTCATTGAGATAATATAAGATGAAAATAAGTGGCATCAGGATGCAACATTCTTTCCCAAAGAAACATTTCCAAGTTTGTTTGAAAATACTTCCAACTCCCACTAACTGCATCAAATTGTCGTCAGGATAACTCTCTTACCATGCTTACTGTGTTCTTATTCCTCCATCATGTCCATGCTCTATCTACAGATCATCATCAGTCATCAGTGGTTTAAAAGCTAGACATCCTTCCACCAATCTGCTCCATGACACCACCCACCATGTTGAAGTTGAGGACGTGCCTAATGGCTTTGAGTGTACGGACTCTGCAGACCACCCAAGCCTCAGTCTGCCCCTGTGCATGTGGCCGTGGGTCTGTCGATGCGTTGCGGAGTCCTGGGTCGATGTTGAGGCCAGCAGCAGGCCAGTTGACATATTCTCAATACCGGCACATGTCTCTGCTGTATTATATGCGTACGATCCCCAAGCGATTTAAGGAGTTCAAGAAGTTCCAGCTGAATATGTAAGTACCTTTGTGCAGATCACATACTCGTTTTGCCATGTTTTTTTTCATACTCCGGATTTATGATAATGTACGGGACAGGTTGACCGTATGAAAATGGCACAAGTCTGCAAGCTGTACTTCAAAAAGCTGCAAGATTTAATAAGAATTTGCTAGATCTCACAGAATTACACGAAACACATTATAAACACTTTAACTCACATGCAGATGTTAATAAAAAGTTATTTAACAAAAGACAATCATAAAATTTCCTCTAAAAAAAATTAGATAATATTTTTCTTTTTTAAAGGGAAAATACAACATTTGCAAACATCAAAAAATAAAACTACCAAATCATTTTGAAATACCTTGCTGTACTGTTAGTGAATGACAGTGTAAAGCATCCTGTAAAATCATGGCACCTGGTATCCTGTCATTTTCAAGAAAAGTGGTATTTTTGTATCAATTTCCAACGCTGGCTGGCTTTTTTTTCAAATACTGGCCCCAATTGACCATCGCACTTGTTTGCAATCGATTACACACCTATGAATGGGTACAAGCCAGCTAGACTGGTTCCCTGACCTTACAATTCCCCAATGTATATAAACTGCCCTGTTTCTTCTTATATGGAGTCAGGGAACCAGACTACAGGAAAATGATTGTTTTTCTTGGTTTTTATAGCATTTTCGAACCCAAAACCTCAAAAAAGTCAGTGTAACTATATTTGCTATATATTTCCAACCCCCCAAATTCCATCCATTTCTGAAAATTACAGCAAAAGCAAATGATGTATATTCCCTTTAAACTTGGCGCGTGTCTAGTCTGACTTCAAATGTCTATAGTACTTTACCGTGTAGTCATACATGTCGGGGAACAACAACGGTTTACTGGCCTGCCTATGCCCCGCTGTTCACGGGTTTGTTTGAAGTGATTAAAGCTTGTTCAAAACAAATCTGGTATATTTTTCTGCTGGGATCACCGATTTTACAGAATTCTGCCAGAAATCTGCTAAAATGTTCATTCCTCTACAGATTTTCTGCTAGATTCGGGGGTTTTTTTGCTCCAAAAAAATCTGTCAGATCTAGCTGAAAATGAGCTAAAACGGTCACCATGATAGAGGGGACAGGAGGCTGGGGTCCATCTGTATGATTTGACAACTTACTAAAGTGATTTTGTATACTTATTTAAAACTTCCACAACTTGCAGTATTCTCAGTAAAGCGTCCATGGGTTGGTCATCAATATGACTTTTCAATTTGCGGCTGTTCTTTGTTCCGTATTACGTCCACAGAGTGGAACGGCCAAACGAAGCCAGCAAATTCCCGCCCGAGATTGCCACCTACTTGTGGCTGATCAGTATGAAGGCCAAGGTGCATTTCACCAACGGCAAGTGGTACACGTCGGAGGTAAGCGGGCTGAGAGAGAAGCGGCCCGTCAGGGAACTCATGAAGTACAACATTGACGCCATCGATGCCAAAGGAACGTTGATAGACTATCACGGCATGGCGCAAATAAGTAAGTGGTGTCTGGGAAGGGGGGTCTCAGTAACAGGGTGTCCCAAAAAAAAATTATCCTTTAATTTCTCAAAACTACTTACCAGAGTATTTCATCTTCATGGAGCATATTAATTACTAGCTGCATGTTATACAAATATTGAGTGGCTCAGGGTGAAATGGGAGGAATATTATCGCAAGGTAAAATCTGGACTTTTCCATTTCATGAGGCAAAGCTGAGTGAACTGGAAAAGTCCGGATTTTACCAAGCGATAATATTCCTCCCATTTCACAATTTAAAGCCACTCAATATTTGTTTTATATAACCGACATATAGATCCTTGTCATTTGATATATTTGAATTTTTATTTCAATACAAAACTGGAGGAAAATGTATTTCTCTCTTCCAAACCACCCCTTCACGAAAATGTTTGAACCCAACGCTGTAGCGCTGGCTCTTTGGAACAATACGCGCTACGCGCAACGCTGAACGCGCACACCAGCATGCATTTGCACATAAATACTGCGTCATGGAACAAGAATGATCTGAACTGTTCAATAGTATTTCCCATTCCCCATGGGCGGATAGTACTTTTTGAACCGCGGCGTGAATGGGGGCAATAACGAATGTCACGCGATGTGAGTTCCACCAATCAAATGACAAGGATATGTATGCCGGTTATATAAACCCATTCTTTATTGGCTAGGGTGTATGTGTGTTGGGGCTCGAAATGTGGGGAGGAGTAATGTTTAAATGGTTGCAAATACAGTAACCGCTTAAGAAATGCAAGTGCAAGGGACACGAAATAAGGAACTATAAGCCCCAACAGGCTAACAGAAACTGGCAGAAGTGTCATCTCCCCGGGAAATTGGTTTTGGGAGAGTAACTGCAAAGTCCCCAAAATGAGAAGTCCCTTCAGAGGTTTTTGTGGCCCCCCCCCCCCCCCCCAACTTAAAAAAAATTCTTGCTACGCCACTGTGTAGCCCACATTATCAGTAAACTGTGCGCTCAATGTCAGGACACCACCTCCTGTTACCCACAAAATTTCAAAGTCTTTTTTTGTAAAGTTAAAATTACTGGAGTCTTCAACGAACTCAAAAGAAACGCCCGTTCTGGACAAACTGTCAGTGCTGAGATTTGTTATAAAACGTTTGAGCAATATGCTCAAGAGAAAGCCGTGGAAAATTGGGACATTAAGACTGTTTCTTTTTTTTTAAATCAAAGTGTCATCTTTTTGGTCTTTTACATAAGATAATCGGTATATTGAATATTTTCGCTATTGGATTTCCGATATATCGAGTATTGAAAATTCAGTGTCCCTGAAACAACCTCAGAAATGCTATTAAAACACCCTCAAAAATGCTTTTAACGATACTGACAACGAGAGCCCAAAAAAATCATTTATTTTACGTTGTTGTATGCTCGCCCTTACAGTAAAACTAAAGAAGCTGAAGTTCCTGAGTTTTGAGGGGTGTCCCTACATTGACGATAGCTGCCTGGGGCGCTTGGTGCACCTGCAGGATTCACTCACACATCTCAACATCAACAAGTGTCCACAGGTTACAGAATGTGGACTAGTCAGCCTGCATCACCTCAGGTAGTCAACAAGTCCACTTACGTTGTGGACATGTTTAACCCTAAAAGGCCTGGGGGGTGGTTAAGGCCACCCCCCCCCCTCTCCCCTGCACTTTTCTAGCAATATTTTTGCCAAATGTTTGTTTCTTGCCCGTGAGCTTATATAACATTCTAGCTTCAAGTCTGGCACATGTTTTGATACCAAATGTATGAAATTTGACTTCAGGGTCGTCGCGCTGCGCGACAATATTTAAGGCTGCGCGACAATATTTAAGGCTGCGCAACATTATTTAAGGCTGCGCACCACGGAAATCACATTTCCCCATATATAATACACAGATAGCACAGCTTGCTGTGGTAACAGTGTGCTATCTTGCAAAATTAAATAATTAAAAAACACTTTGTCTTGTGAAAATCTAATTCTGTGAATAATTATGTTCAGATTAAATTGCTCTACATGTGTGCCAAGTCTCATTCCATTTCGTCATTTCACGTCCGAGTTCTGGGGGGTCGGGGCGGAATCCATTAACACTGACATAGCTTGTGCATGGAACACGAATGTAATGGCAGCCACTAAGAAACCACACCCACTACCCCCCCCCCCCCCCAAAAAAAAATTATCAAAAAAACAAAAATTACCTTACTTCTAAAGTGATCTTACATAAGCCTCTCTCAAATAACGTCTGGGATTTTAGTATTTTGTGTCCAACCACCCTGTATGTAAAGTTTTTCAGAATGTCCGTTTATTTTTTAACTACCCCTTCCAGTCTGTGGGATGGACTCTAAGGACTCTCTAAGGGACCATCTCAATTCATATCCAGGACGAGTTCCGGACAAGTTGTGGGTAGAATCATTCACTTTGTCCAGAAGATGCTCTGCATTTGTCCCGGACATGTTCTGGGGAAACTTTCATCAGCAACTGCTTGACTCACCAATACTGATAAGTTCATCGCGGGAAGATTGCGAGGAAGTTGTTCAGAATCCTGCAACTTATACCCGATACAATGTCTGCAACTTGTCCGGAACTCGTCCCACATATGAATTGAGACGAGCCCTAAGTAACCTTTAGTTTTGTTTTTTTTTATTCCATGTTGACTTCGCAGTAATTTGGAGAGAATGAACATGAGCGATCTCCCGGGAGTTCCCCACGCCAGAGTAATGGCCTGCATGCTGGAGGACGTATTGCCCAATCTCAGGATTGGTCTGGTTACCGAAGAATTAGAGAGATATGCGAGTCGGAGAGACAAATGGAGGTCCACACCAAGCCCGGACAGTTGTGAGAATGAAACAAAGGAACAAGTGGAGAAGACAAGTTGACACTTAAACAGGAGAATGATTTCATATTGCGTAACTTTGCTGGATTACAGCCATATGCATTATCAGCAAGACGGACAATCCCAGATGTCCTCAGCAAAGGCCTTCATAAAGCCACCCTCGGGTTGACTTTGCAATGACACACATCAGTTTGGAACTACAGCCTGTCTCAAAAAAATGGTACAATCAGAAAAAAAATTGGTTAAATATGAAATTTCAAAATAAGTCATTCTTACTTGGCATTATATTAAAGAACAAAGACTGGGTTTTCCAATAGTGTTTGTTTGATCTTATTTGCTTTTGTCAATTCAGAGATATAATCAATTTAGTGCGATACACCAAAATCGATTTTGTGCCACTTTTATGCATGGGCAGAGTTGCTTCGAGTACTGTGCCATGCTGTCTTGAAGCTCACAAAAGATTGCAACTTGGCAAAAGAAACAAACTCGATTTTTGTGTTCCGCAGAAAACTGGAGTTATCTCTGGATCGACAAAAGCAAGTGAGATGAAACAAAAAGTATTGGAAAGCCTGGTCTTTTTTCTTTAATGTGATGCTCAAAACGACTTACTTATGTTGAGATTTAATATTGAAAATTTTTTTTCGATTGTACCATTTTTTTTTAGACAGGCTGTAGCTATTCAAGATCAAGCTGTGCCTAAGCTCTGACTGTCAGGAACATTTCAGTTGTCAATTTTTATTTGCAACCCGAGTGTAACTACGACCACATTTTAACAACTGGCATCAGTCAGCACTAAAAAAATCAAATCGCAACTTCTGCACGACTGAACATGTTCTCAACTGGCGGGAATCAATTGCAGTCGACCAATTGAAGTTGTGCCTACATCCGGATCGTCTATTTTATTGTAATTCGTCGTAGCATGGTTCCTGATTATTCTGTGTCGGGATGCCACTTGTTCAACGATAATCACACGACTTCTCGGTCTTGTGACCTGAGCATGACTTTTGTGCTCGATGCCAGTGCAAGCAAATCGAGGGTCGAGCTGAGGCCGGCTTAAAATTCAACATCATAGAGGTCTAGAGGTGCCATTTTCAGCAAATGGAATGCAAATCTCTTTGTGGTGTGTTCTCAACACCCTGTTTGACTAAACAGTGTCATATTCTGGAGGGGGAGGGGTAAACTTGTGAAGCGCTTCCGAGACATTTGGTATAAACCGCTATACATATATGTATAAGCACCACATTATTTTCATTATTGACTCCGGTGCATTCTTCTTTTAAGATGTTACGAGTCCTTTGCATTTCAGATGAAAATCCTCGTAGGACGAATGTGCCGAAGAAATTGAACACATCAAATAAAAAAGTACATGTACAGTAACACACACCACTGTCGTTTCCTGTTTGTTTCTTTTCCTCACGTTTGTCAAATTTTTTATTTCCAAAAAAATATTGAACAGTTAAAAAAAATCCCATAAAACTAGAAACTGACACAGATTCCATTCTCGGTATACAGTATATATGAGCCTCTGTTCGTGAATCGCTGATTTTCCAGGAATTAATGCGTTATATTAAAAATTAAAGTAAAAAGAATCTGCAACTGAAAAAAAATGCACTCAATTTTATTTAATTATAAACACTGCAGACATCAAGTGTGTGTATTGAGCAACATATCCCGCTAGTATCTTTTACATTTTTTTTCTCATAAAGATCATTCTTGCATAAGGTGGCATGATTAACAGAGCCTTTAACATGTTCACGATGTTTAATCAGTTTTACTCCTATTCAAATTGCTCTATAACGGTGCTCGACCAGCTTCGCCTGACTTTTACTGTACAATTTAAGAAATATAATAATCCGCAAAATGTGCAATGTAGTATTGACACAGTGTTATCTATAAATCTTAATACTTTTGCCTTTGTTTAATTTTTAAAAATCTAAAAAAAATCTTCCTGTAATCGCTATAAATCCCTCGTAGATATGGGGAAACCCCCAATTCTTCTGTGACCACGCGATGGGTTGAGGAACATCACAGGATAAGGATAGTGTTACAGTAACTGATAAAAAGTTCACCGATGTAAAAAATGATATATGGTCAGGAGATACAAGTGTAAGGATGGTCAATATAACGTGCAAGTCTCGCTGGTCCACGTTCACTTATTCTGTGAACGTCTTGGTACCAAACACTGACGAGTGTAGTCACAGACTCCCGCGTTTGAATTTACCCAATTCGGGCGATTCACAATGCAGTGCGTCACCAAGAGTTTGCCTTGAAGAGTCCATTTTTCAAGTTCACAGTCGACAAAACATGGCCCATTTGAACGAGTGTCAGTAGACAATTTGAGCTAATTTGTTATAGATTGGGGCATAGCATTCTGCTGCCTTAATACACAAAACACCATATTGATAAAAAGAAAAGGGCACACAGATACTCGAATCATACGCTTACGAAACTACTGACCGGAAAAACTAACAATTTCAAATGTCCTGCGCTGCGAATTTGTCGACTATCTCTCAGAATGCACTAGGAAAAATGAACTCTCTGTGGCAAACTCTTGGTGGCGCACTGCATTGTGAATCGCCCGAATTGTCATTTGCGTGATCGATGGAACGGAAGTTGAGGTCAACAATTTTGATTTTACAATAGGCATCAATTCACAATATTTTCAATATGTTGAAAATAAGATTGGAAACTTTTCATGGCGGTAGTGTAAACGAGTGAGGCTTTGCGATAACACCATGTGGAAGAATCTCCTTTGAGGTGTGTAGTTCTGAAAAAGAAAAGAACCGGTTGATTGTGAACTCAACGTTTCGATCAGTATGCTCTGATCATCTTCGTAGCCCTCCTGAAGACGATCAGAGCATACTGATCCGAACGTTGACTTCACAACCAACCGGTTCTTTTCAGAACCACACACCTCAAACAAGATTTGTCCACATGGTGTTACCACAAACCCTCACTCGTTTAAATGTTGTAAATTGTAATGCTTTCTTTTCGTTGTGTCCACATTTTTTTTCCAGCTGTAAACGGTTTCTCTCTAAGTTCAAACAATACCTGAGAACTAGCAAACATTCACAGCAATATGTCGACAGTGAGGACATATTTTGTACAAATAAATATTCATGATTTTGACATGATCGTCTGCCACAATCACGAGCCAATTTCACGGCGCCGCTAAGCACAAAAATTGCTCAGCACTAAAAAAGTCTGGCTTAAAGAGGTTGTGGAATGCTCGAAGACATTTCCGTCATTTTTGGGGTATATGTAGCCTAAGGTGTGATAAAATAGAAACGACTATTGTTTCTGTCATGAAATGAGTACAAAGGGTACTTTTGAGAGCTATTTTTCAGGTCCTGTTTCGACCCGAACGTGCAATTTGTGTAAAAGTCGTCGTTGGGGGCAGCAAACAAAACACAGTAAATCGTGACGTAATAAACAGCACTCGTTTATGCTACTCTGCATCGGGAGTCCTGTTTATTACGTCACGATTTACCGTGTTTTGTTTGCTGCCCGCAACGACGACTTTTACACAAATTGCACGTTCGGGTCGAAACAGGCATGACAAGACTGGAAAAACAGCTCTCAAAAGTACCTTTTGTGACAGAAACAATAGTCGTTTTTATTTCATCACACCTTAGGCTACATATACCCGAAAAATGACAGAAATGTCTTCGAGCATTCCACAACCTCTTTAATATAAAAGCAGTGTACCAGCCAAAACTCCATGTGAAGTATATTGCTCTTGATTAGTATTCAGCTGTTGTTTGCTTAGCATGATAATCACATGAGTTTTGGCTGGTAACCTGCTTTTATAAGCCAGACTTTTTTTTTTGTGCAAAGCACATTTTTGTGCTTAGCAGCGCCGCGAAATTGGGCCCAGATCCCGGTTGTAACGAACATCAAAAGAGATGAGCCCAATAGCCAAACGTGGCCATGATGGCCTGCCAGTAGTAGTTTTTCCAGCCGGCTTTCGTCCTGTCATAGTCAGCTACGGGGATGCCCGTCTGGTTCAGGGTCAGTTTGGTGCAATCGCTCTTCTGGGTCAACTTGATGGTGACCGTTGAGAAGTGGGCTGTGACCAAGAACAAAAGACACTCGTTACTTTTCCTAAAATACAGTGCGAGTCAGAATGATCTGGTACCAAATTTAAGAAAATATTTAAAATATGTAGCAATTATCAAAACAAGTGCAAATGAGATATGTTATAGGCTGGTATTTTGGACATATTTGGTGAAAGTTTCCTGTATACCCATGGTCCCATTTTGAAGAAAAGCGCTAGCGAGGAACACACGCTAAAAAACACACTGACCACGGTTCAACAAATTTCTTGAAATCGCGTACTGATGTGAAGCAGTGTAATACGCAAAAAAACCTAGTCATGGTGACTGACTCACTTGAAGTTATTGACACATTTAAAAAAGGCAAAACCAATTTCAAATGCAGACTGGAAAATGAGCCACTTCAATGAAAATGGCATAACCCCTCACCACAGCCACTAATTTGAAAAATTCAAAATTCCTGTGGAAGACAAGGTAATAACCATTCATATGAAACTCTCAGTTTTTTCCTCAATATTCTCTTATTTGCTACCAAAAATTGGTGAACTTTGGTCAAGATCATTCTGACTCATCCTGTTTACTGTGAAAGTTTTAGACCGTAATTATTTTCCAGTAAAGGCGACACTTTCTGCATGATTTATAGAGGTATACCTATCAGTGTTCAAATATTACACGGTTTGAGGGTGGATAGTCGATATTAGTGCCCTGAGGGGTTGAAAGTTGACAAACTAGTTTTTAAGGCGAAGATGTAGACTGGGTGGTGAGAGAGCCCTATTTACCTCTATTTCTCAGTTAATCTTAGAATTTATTTCTAAATTTCAATACGTACCTTCTGGCCAGGTTTTGAATCTCCAACGCTGTACAATTTTATGAGAAGCACGATCCTGGTGGTAAATTATAATAAAATTAAAAAAATAAAACAAGTGGTCTGCAGACCGCACGTGTCGCCTTTTTGTGTGGTTGATCCCTATATGTTTTGTGTTCTTAAAAAAAGTGAAATTTTGTGCATTTTTAAACAACCTCAAATGACCCCTAGGTGACCTTTGACCTCTGATTTTGGAAGACTTGTGATGAACTCCCACCCAAGGATCACTCCATCCAAGTTGAAATCCATCAAATTCTGACGCAAATTACAACAATGACCTCTAATGACCCCTACATGACCTTAGACCTCAGTAATCCGATGAAGATTTGTGTCTTCCCACCCAAGAGTCACTGCATCCAAGTTTCATCAAAATCCATGAAGGCATGTAGAAGTTATACATTATTTGCAAAACGTAACCTACAGGTCTACGAGTCTACAGTCATACAGAATTTAGGAAAGGTTAGTGTCTCCCAAAACTTTGTTTAGGCGACACAAAAACTGAAGTGCAATGTGTACCTGAACATTTCTCGGCTAATTAATAAAAAAAAGTTGCCTATGGATCTGTATGCATGAATGTGAGATACGACCTAATTAAACAAGAAAACAAATAAATAGCAATTAATTGAAAATATTTGTAAGCCAACAAAATGGGTTGACTCACCAATGATATAAACTCTCCAGTCACGTTGCCACCAAACAGGCTGAACTTGCCGCCGTTTTCCACTTCCATAACTGCTTGGGATTGGGTGAATGCCGAAACTCTCTGCAGACATAAAACACAATAAATACAATAACAAGATCACACTGGGGCAATGAAATTCCATGCACCAATATTCTCCCGCCCCCCCAACAGTACAAAAGTGACAGCGAAGATGGACACGTCCACATGTATCCTGAACTGCATGTTAGTGCTGTGTGAAATTTAATGAATTTGACTTCTGACTTTCTTTTTTAAAATTTGGTCTAGGAGTATCCTGCGGTTTTAGACAACTCGGCTCCCCGCATTGTATTTGATATAGCACCGTGCTACAGCTGCCCCTAAAAGTACAGAAGTGGCATGGCAACTTTCTAAATGCTGAATATGAAACAAATATTGAGTGGCTCAGAGTGGAATATAATCGCAAGGTTAAATCTGGACTTTTCCATTTCACGAGGTGAAGCTGAGTGAAATGGAAAAAGTCCAGATTTTACCGAGAAAGATTTTTTCGGTGTTGTAAAGCTAATGAACTATACTTGTCAAATATGTATCATATTTGCAATGTATTTTTTTTAAAGCTGTGAAAAAGAGGACGCTGGGAGGGGTTTTCTTTTTTTGGGGGGGGGGGGACATCCTATATTTAGAAGGGATTCTTTGCTTATGATAAGCAGAGCCAAGCAAACGGGCCCTGATCTTCCATCCACGCTAGGCATCCTTCTCTCACCTGGGGGTCTGTGAGTGCCAGATACAACTCCTCAGCCGCGCACTTGAATTCCTCGGTTGCCGTCAGATTCTGCGTGTCTATCTTGTCTCCAATCTGCGTGTTCTTCATGTTTTCTTGGTTGACCTGGTGTTGTTGCTGGATGGTAGACGGGGAAGCCTAAAAGAGACGATTAAAAACGCATGTATCACCGAATCAAAACAGTTTCAGCGAGATGCAAATCTCGTTATGAAGCATCGTTTTATTTTTCTCCTGTCCAACCATGTCTCTGTGGATATTTATAAATGGTAGCGGTAGGTAGGAAGCACAGCAAACAGCCCGTCAACTTGGCAGACTTTGCTTAACCCCTTAAGGACGGGGTGTAATGGGGACATTCCTCCACACATAGAGCAAGTGGCCCGCATGACTGCACAGCCTTTGTGTGGTAGCGGGACTGCACAAAAGCAGCAGCTGTGGAACTACCCACTAGCCTTGTGCCATGGCATACCACAGCTGGCAACTGCATTCCAATGAGGATTAGCGGCCGCGGCCATGACCGCTTCCCGTACGCATGGGGTTAAAACAGTGACGGATCGATAGCAATCTCCACCCACACACAGAATTCAGGGTAGCACAACGTCTCTGCAAACCTCGATCATGAGTTTAATTGTTTGAACTATATTGTTCTACTTTTTAACCCTAGCCTTCCCAAATCCTCCAGAATCCTCTTTGTATGAGTGGAGAATTTCGAAGGATTGTGGCAAATATGTGTCAGTCGATTTTAGAGCATGCACTGTGTCGAGGTCTTGTGTGAAGGCTGTACCATGCATTGTTTATGCTTAGCCGTGCATACATTTAGGATTATAACACCTCACCCACAGAATCTGTGTCTTGATTGGCCAAGGGCGAGTCACATGGTACTTTCTATTTTTGCTATCTTTCAGTGCACGGCCAAAAGTACTATACCCATAGCAAACAAAGTACTATACGCACTGTGTGCAAATTGCATAGGGGTGTGCGCGTTGCGCGTATTGTTTCCAAGCGCGAGCGCTACAGAGCTGGGTTCAAACATTTTGTGAAGGGGTAGTTAGAAAAAGTGCAAGTTAATTTTCAACTAATTTGGTATTTAAATAGAAGTCAGTTGTTATTGTATTTAGATTAAATTAATCAGTTATCACGTAAAATCAAGCAGAATCTATGGGAGAGGTGTTATAAAACAAATATTCACTGCTTGATCTCGTGGTGTAGTAAAACTATCCTCCCTCGGTGATCCATGGAGCACTCTATTTTCCCGAGACGAATGCTTCATGGATCACCTCAGGAGTCTAGTTTTACTACACCACACGAAGCAGTCAATATTTGTATACTAGTTGATACTTGAAATCATCCACACTGCTTCTGTATATCATCGGCACTGCCTCAACGTATTAACAGTGATTGTTGAAGGGTTTTGAAAGATTATGGCAGTTGTTGACCCTTCAATGAATCAATTCAATAATGGATGACTTTGGAGGACAAAGGCTGTATGCAATTGTTACATGGAGGTAGTTGGAGGATTTTGCAGGATTGAGGCTGTGTGCTATTTTTCCATGAGGCCAATTGGAGGATTTTGCAGGACTGAGGTTGCATCCTAGCAAAATGCCTAGGGGGTTACGGTTAATGATCTTTCCAACTACTATCATATGGTGGGGCACACTTTTCAGGATCCAAAAGAGAGGAGTCCTCATATGAAAGGGATTCTTTAACTCTCCCTCTCTGGCTGGCAATTTCAACAAGGCCAGCCCAGCAGTCAAACTAAATCAAGTGACTGTTTTTAACAGTCGAGTGCTCCCTGCCTTCATAAAGCAGGATTGACTGGCTGTGATTGTTATGAAACCTGATATAGCCATGCTTTGACTGCAGGAGATTGATTAGCCAGCTGTTCCTACCAGTCACCTGCTAAATTGTCTGTTGATGGAATTTGACTGTCACAGTGCCTACAAGAAATTATGATCTGACTGTTGTAAAAGGCATGGCAGGGAACAGGATTGAATTTTTGACTGTCTGTGACTGATCAAACAAAAGGAGGATTAATGTAAAAAATACCTTTGGAGGTGTTGGCTTAGACACGGCCGGTTGTGGTTCTTTCTGTGTGTCTACTGACGGCAGTATCATTCCTTTACTCATATCTTTGAAAGAGAAAACAAAAACAAAAAAAAACACCAGACTAATTTAATTAAATTGATTGTTATAAGAAGAATTTGATCTCTGAAAAGAATATTCTTGTTCCAAGTGCTTAAAGGGAGTGTACATCATTGGCTTTTGCTGTAATTTTCAGAAATGAACTATATTTGAGGGGTTAGTATAATAGATCAAATATTGTTACACCGATATTTGATGTTTTGGGTTCGAAAATGCCGGAAAAACCAAGAAAAACAAAAATGTTCAAGTAGTCTGGTTCCCTGACCCCACTAAAGATGAAATTGATCTTGTTATAAATGCCGGAAAATTGTAAGGTAAGGGAACCAGTCTAGCTGGCCTGCACCCGTTCATGAACATGTAACCAATAGCAAAAAAAATGGACTGAAAAAAAAAATTGGTTAATTTGGAGCAGTAGATGAAAAATAGTTAGGCTTTTCCAACTGTCATTTACCAACATCCTAGTAAGGTATTTCATAAACATTTGGTAGTTTTGTTCTTCGATGTTTGCCAATGTTGTATATTCCCTTAAACAAGGTTGACCAACTTTTGTAATTGCATGATAAATGACTGAAATTCATCTCGGACGAATTTGAATATTAGAATTGGTGAATTGGAGTGAAAAACGTTGTTTTAAAATAGCTGGGAAAGCATATAATAAATTGCTCTCCACCAATTCTCTGTAAACCTTACCCTCTTTGAGAAAGGTGATATATTTGCCGAGCTGTTCTCGGATGACGGTGGTGCCTTTGCTGCGCATTATTTCCTTCAATATTCTGGACTCCTCTGTATTTTTCTTGGTCGTAATGGTAATCTGTTTACAAACAACATGAATATAATTGATTGAAAGATATACAAATATTCATCATACAGAAATTTAGTTTCAGTGTAACTGGGAACAGCTCGTTTGGAGAATCGAGAACGTGTTGAAAAAAATGTCCCCTAGTGAGTGCTCAGGATACAATGACATGTTGGGACGTATTTCCAATGACATGTCCACCTGAGATTACCATGTGACAACAAAGATGGCGGTGTCTGTGGAACGGTGCACGACAAAGGGATGCCGTTGTCAAAAGTTCATTTTGATTAGCTTGTCACTAGACTTGTGAATGACATGTGATCAACATGTGATCCACATGTGATCAACATGTGATCGACATGTGAATGACTTATTCATAAGATGGAAGTTTGCGTCGGGGTGATGTAAAGCAAAATAGGTTTAGCCGTTCACCGACACATAAACACTGTACACTCAGTGTGTTACCTCCCAAGTGAAAGTTGGAAAAAAATCACTCGGGTGGGACTCGAAACCACAACCTCCTGCTTTCTAGTGCAGACGTCTTACCACTCGACCACCGAGCTAACGAATCAGTTGGCTGGTTCGAATCTGATGTACATAGCAGTGGGTACCCCATTTAATTATTCGTAATATGGAATTTTGCGTCGGGGTGATGTTAATCAAATTAGGTGTTTCCCTTCAGCGACGTATAAACACTGTATTCTCAGTGTGTTACCTCCCGAGTGAAAGTTAGAAAAAAAATGTGAATGACTTGTAAATGACTTGTGAATGACTTGTGAATGACTTGTGAATGACTTGTAAAAGACTTGTGATTGACATGTGATCGACATGTGATCGTCATGTGATCGGCCTGTGATTGACTTGTGATTAGTGCCCTCATCACATCCCTGTAAGTGACACACTGAACTTAGAACTGGAAAGAGTAATCCTAGAATTAAGAGGGGGAAATGTTGAACTTACGTCTATTTGATCCAAATCATTCTCGTCGCTGAGGTTGGGGATTTCTACATGTCCCTTTAGTTTGGTACTGCAGTCTTTGAGGTTACCTTAACAGATGACCCAAAAAACATGAATTAGAGACAACTATTCAATTTTATTGTCACTTTCATTTTCCATTTCCATACACCATGCACACTGTACTAAACTCTGTTGTACTTAAGAAGCAAAGCCTCATTAATGAGAATTAATTTCATTGACGTTCTTTGTGCTTCAAGCTGAATTCCATGTGCTCTTTTAACAAATTTGATTTTGTTCTTTAAAAAAAACATTCAACTTCAACAACTTGTATGTTTTATTTAAACAAAAACCCTCCTTTTTCCTTTTTAGGACGTCTGCAGTCCTCTGAAAAAAGGGTTTTTGTTTTGGGCACAAACAGATCCGCTTTGCAAGCAGACTGGGTCTCGGTCCGTACATTATCGGCACTGATTGCGTGGCGGGAACCAGCCTACCCCGCAAGAACGAACTTATTGTCCGACGGTCAATAATCCAAAATTGTTAAGTAACAATTCAATAACTGAACACTGGCCTTTTTTTCCGATCGATGCCTTATTCAAGAGTGACTAACTTTTGTATTGCTAGAAAAGTAGCAATTTAAATCAATCTATTTGTTTGGGATGAATCTCAAAAATAGCATAAGGAATACAACTTTAAACTGTTAACCAGTTTAGGCCGGGTTTATTTTGACAGTGACCTGACCCAGGCGCGTGAATATTTTTCAAGAGATCGTTGCCAGACGGGTTCAGGCCAAAATCTGCGGGTAGCACACCCTGATGTTTCCGGCCTCGCTCGCTGCGAGCGGGTCGCAGACAGATATTTCTGGGCTCGCTCGATGCGTGTTTATCCATCATCCGTTCCAAATACTGCAAAACCTTTGCGTGTATACACATCATCCGACGCGAACTGATTAAAGGAATCGAGCTGGCCCACTCTAACATCGTGCATGTAGTAACAAAACTCTTTGAAATCTTCTGGTCAAGTTTAAAAGGTTGTGGGAGGGTAAGGATTAGTGTCACATCGACAAACCTTGCCATTCTAGTTTGATGTTCCATTCATAGAAGAAGATGAGTTTGGCTTTCCTGTTGCTGGCTGATGCTTCACCCTCAATACTTGTCATCTCAATAACCTCGCATTCACCTGAGAACAGACACGAACAATAATGAGCCACTGACACATTTTCCTGAATTTCTTTTCAATGTATAAGGTAAAGTGTAATAGAGAGATAACAAATTCCTCTTTCTTTCTTGTTTCACCCTCCTACTGTTTGATCAGTCACAGACAGTCAAACGGTTCTCCCACTTCCCCCGCCATGTATTTGTATGCAGGCTAGTAAAAAACCAGAGTGCTGAAAAATATGCAAAACCAAATCACTCTTAAGCCAACTCACTCTTCAGCCAACAAAATTCTCCAAAAGTTTAATTGGGCAAAGAAAAGGTCCTTATTTCACCAACCAAGTTTGAAGACTCAATTCAATTTCTAAAGGAGACTTTTCTTCACTATTTGACACATTGCAGGGAAGTCAAGTGATATCAAACTGAGACTAAAGACTAGACTGGTACATGTCCAACCATGGTCCAACTGTTTGAAAAGACTGACCTCTTCATATATTGTCATTAGTCTGGTGACTGACTATGGAGAAATGTGTAGAAATAGAGACTAGTACCACACATGCCAGATGCTTCTTTTGGCACAGTTCAATGATGCAGTACTGAAGGGATGTTGGACTGGTTGTTTCAGGTGCCAGTCTATTTCTTGTATTGCACGTTTTCAATACCTTAAGTTTTGGAACTCTCATATCATACACAGTATTGAGAGTCCCAAATTTTCAGACTAGTAAAAAACAGTCAGATCACGTTTGTGTAAACACTGTCACTAGTCAAATTTTATCAACAGACAAAAGAGACAATTTGTAGGTACAGCTGGCATATCAATCAACTCAAGTCAAAGCATGGACACGTATCAGATTTACAAGGGAATTCTTTACAGCTAAAAACAGTCGCCTGATTGATTTTGACTGCTGTGATGGCGTAGCTGAATTTGTCAGCAGAGAGAAAGAATAATTTATTTTCTCTGAATACCATCTCTTCATATTATGACAATGTTGAAATATGATTATTTAATGAAACAATGAACCAACCTTTATCGTCTTGGATTTTCAGACCAACCAATAATTCTTTCAGGTGCTCTTTCGATGAACAGGATGCATCTCGCTCCGTCCTGAAGAGAAACACCATGCAGAGAATGAATTAGAAGTAGTGTATGTATTAAGTTTACAACCTCCAATTGTCAATTGCAGTATAGTGTTACACTTGTTAATCTGCACTAGCAGTTAGGCCAAACAAAAAAATAGTTCTGCTTCCGGTTCCCCACCTACCCTATTTTGACAGCCCCTACCCTAATATTTTTATGGGAAAAATGATAAAAAATTGCGCAAGGCACGGAGACACTTTCGGAATGAAAGCCGCACTGATTTGGTCAAGAGAATTAAAGCGCCCTCAGTTGACGGCAAACGGTGAGAGACGGCCGAGTGCGAGACTCCAATGATCCTGGTGAACGAAATTCTGAAATTTCACCTTTTTGTTTGTCATTTGAGGGATTTCAACCCACCCTGGAGGTGCAAATCCACATCAAGATAAAACTTGCGAAATATTGAGGCCGAACATTTCGCGACAGGAGAGTTTGGAGGTCGGGAAAAATTGAGAATTTTCGGCAAAAGCAACTTCAGTTGGTCTTTCTGTAAGGTTGGTAAAAAAACCTTACAATTCTGTACATCCTGAACACACATGAAAGCAAATATAGATTTCTAGGTAAGTACCCAACCTGCATGCGAAATTATGAACGGCGGATCGATTTCGCTAGGTTCAAAATGATACAAGCATGACATGAATCAATATATATTGAATCGGGATCGATTCAACCCTTACTTGTAATGTTAGCGATATGAACGTGAGTATGTCAAGAAGTATTGGGCATAGGTCTTGGGGTACAAGAGTATGAGTATGTTTTGACATACCTAATTTATTTTGAAGAATCCTTTTTATATTTTTGCATTGTACCATGAGGTGGAATAAAGTAAAGTAAAGAATAAAGTAAAGTAAAGAATAAAGTAAAGAATAAAGTAAAGAATATACTGCGGTCGCTCCAAAACTCATAGGCCAACATGCTGGCAGGTTTATTGAATAATATTTGTGGAGTATACATTATGTTCGCGTTGATACTTTGAAACTGATCAAACGGTATCAGGTCAACTCGGACCCAAACAAAGTCGGACCCATGCCAAGTCGGACCCATGCCAACTCGGACCCACGCCAACTCGGACCCACTTCCAACTCGGACCCACCACCAACTCGGACCCACGACCAACTCGGACCTACTACCAACTCGGACCCAAGCACGACCAACTCGGACCCAACAATGACTCAATCATTTTAGTTTCAGAGATTATAGTTATAGGTGATCTTAATGTTAGTGCTTATAAAGTGAAGATATTCTGTAATTACATTGGGCAGAATGGGGCTTCTAGTTTTGTTGTTTTCTTGTATTGCCGCTGTGTGGAGCGCTATTTTATGATGCGTACAGTAAATACTGTTGCTAAACGCTTATCGTTCTGAACGCCATGAAACTAAACGTGCTTAGCTGTTTGAAACCGTGACCTGTGAAGCTAAACCAAGAGGTATTAATAGCGTATAGTATAGGTTAGGCATATCGTATCATTTCCTATGTCATTTGTACAACTTGATATATACGTGCTTTTTTCAAAATCTCGATTTTCTTTTCAAAACGAAATTCAAAGGATTATAATTTTCAGTAAAAAATAAATTACTTGTTTGTTTTTGCAGGCCTTTGTTGTGTAACAAGTGGTTTTAAGTGGCACATTTTGTTTCAGTGAGGAAGTTATTAATTTGAAATAACTATTTAGGCCTTTCATTTCATGTAATTGTTTTTTTTTTTAATTCACATGCTGGCTTTGAATTTTGTGGGATTTTTTTATGAATCTGTTTAACTTTTAATAATTTTTTGATTTAACTTTTTTGTTTAATATGAAACCTTCGTTTTTCTTGCAGTGTATGCAATGGTGTTTATGTGGGTTTTTTTAAATAGAGATTAGAATAGACTTCGTTTTTATATCTTATTTATTTTATTTAGTGACTTATGTTTACTTATATTTATTGAGTTAATAATGTTATGTTTGAAAGTGTTTATGTTTTAATGCCATACTTTCCAATTTTATTTTTCTATGAAGATCTGTTCTTAATTTGTATACTTGTTACGTTGAAGTTTGGATTAAAAATGAAATAAATTTCTGTTAAATTTAGCAAGATGGTGTGAACGATGTCAATTAATATGTTTTAATGAAAATAAACAATTGGTTAAACTTTTAAAGCGCAATATGTTTTAATGGAAAACAAATGAAAATAATAAATAATTAATTACACTTCAAGTTAAAGTGCATTTCAAAATAGCATTTTAATGCGCTTAAAAATGTTATACTGCTGCAATACAGATATGAGATAATTTACCTTACAATTACAATGAAAATTTATACTAAACAGCATCACTGTAATAACAGATGAGAAGTGGACAAACTTTTTGAAATGAATGATTGAAAACGATTTCGAATGATTGAAAACGATGGGTCCGAGCTGGTCATGCATGGGTCCGAGTTGGTAGTGGGTCCGAGTTGGTCGTGGGTCCGAGTTGGTAGTGGGTCCGAGTTGGCATGGGTCCGAGTTGGCTTGGGTCCGAGTTGGTTTGGGTCCGAGTTGGATCGAAACCGATCAAACGCCATTGATTTTGTTGTATACTATAATTCTCTTTTCAGACATGTCAGAGATTACAAAACATGAGATTTCTTTCTTTAAAAAATGAGATTCGCTGGACTCCCTATCAAATGTTGTTTTTGTTACACCGGACATGCTGGAAGTTGTTCAATTTGTTGAATACAACAATGGTTGTCAAAGTCTGAACGTTGTTTTACTTTGTTTTACCAGCATGACCAGACTGCGTCTAGTCACAGTGACTCACCAATGCCAGTTGTTAACATTTGTAGCGTCCGATCTCTCTTCAACAATCCACCGAGGGTCACCTTGTCCCCACTTGGCCATCGTGTACACTTAAAAAAACTTACAGACTTACTTCGGAATAAGAAACGGCAACTGACCACACTGACCACCCACTCAATATAATAATGTACGCGGTCGGAAATAAGAAATTTCTCGAAATGACAAAAATACATGCAGTAAATGCCAAGTCTGGCTCCTGATACAAAGCACGTGTTCAGCCGTTTAAACAGCAAACAATTACAGCTAAATGCCTGAATGGGTCCAGACTACTCCTGAGTAACTGAAATGGCGCCCTCTATGGAGCAATTATGCCGTCGCGGTCTTTCAGTTGTTTTTCTTCATGATATGTAGGCTAATTTTAATATTTTTGGAAATTAAAGAGAATTGAGACAACTTTATGGGGATTCTTTCGGCAGTTTTCTCTGCCCCCAAAAAAATATTTTTGAAAAATTATTAGGCGTTTTTTCCAAGCTTATATATTGCTTGACGTTTAGGGGAAGGGGAAATGCGTCGTTGCATTTGATATAGGCCTAGGTCTGAAGTCAACGCATGTAAAAAAAAAAAAAGTTGACAGAAATATATTTCCATTTTGGATAACCTGTCTCGTGATTTGACATTCCTACTAACATTTAGAAACCCCCACTCCTCCCGTTGGTTCACAGTGAACTTCAACCAAATTATGGTCATGCGCGACCGCCCTCAGATTGGCGAGTCCATGTGCACAACCATTTCTCCGCACCCCTTGATATGCCGGTACTGTTTCTAATCATGTCTAAACATTCAACGTTTTCGTCGGATCTGCCTACTTCTATTTGAAAAGCAATGTCTACCGAACTTACTTGGAAAGAGATTTGATTGTGGAAGCATCATCAGTGAAAACAGTTTTCTTGCTTGGTGCGCAATATGTATGATTTTTGAAGCACAAAAAGATGCGTTCCAGTTCGAGTTTCACTTCCAAAATAGATTTGTTTTTGTTATTGTTTTAATCGCTATTTGCCTGGGGCAATATAAAATCATTCCTGTTTGAATGAGACATCGAACGAAAAAAAAACACCGACGTTTAGTTTTTATTTCCAGTCACCAAAGTTGATGCAGGGCGGGCAGCAGGCCCATTTATGCGCCAAATGAAATTCCTTTTTTTTCCCTGAGAGCCGGCTGCAGATGCCCAAGATCTGAATAACGTAGTGATTTTGTTAAAACAAAACATACAAATTGACAAGTCGTAAGTAAAAAAAAAATCAGGTTTTTTTCGAAGAGCATAGGGTATGTTTTTATTGAGGACAATAGCATCCTTTTCCCTTTAAAATCCGGCAGCAATTTGGAAATGTCGTCAAAGACAGCAAACATTACCAAATACCAAGCCGTTCTCAGAAATACAAGTACCGTCAAAATGTTCCTGACCCGTCCGTGCTGAGTTACGAGCTTGTTGGGTATCATTGACTTTCCGTCGTCAGTCTTGAGCTGCTGCCCTAAGGCAAGCAAAGAAGGGTGGGGTGTGCATGAGAGGGGGCACGTCCCCACCCTGCATGCGGACTGTATGTGCCCTCGTTAACAACCCCTCCCTATAACTACCAGACTTGTATTCGAGTCACCAAACATCGAGTCCGAGTCCGAGTCCCAAGTCAAGCAGGTCGAGTGCGAGTCCGAGTCACGAGTTACAAAAGGTCAAGTCCGAGTCCGAGTCACGAATCACCAATTAAAATGAAAACAAGTTTTCCCCTGAGGTGCTGCCAAAACCTCATTGTGTAAATATTTCCATTTTTTTCTTAGCTTTTCTAAGTTATTTAAGGAACAGGAAATACATGTGTAACTTGTCTAAGCCGAGGTACCACCTGGAAAGGATAATCTGGAACATTATCAAGCTTGCATTTTCGCAATATCTTTGCATTTACGCGCTGCAGTGTATGTGCGTTTCTTCTGCACCGCACAGGCTGTATATCGCTTTTCAGGAGAGGATCGCCTTCAAAATGACTTGTAATTATACTGTTGAAAAAAACAATAAGTGATTTGTGGTAATTTTGGTCGAGTCCCGAGTCCAATTCCTAGTCCGAATACCCGAGTCCGAGTCATTTGTCATCGTGGCTCGAGTCCGAGTCCGAGTCACGATAAATGAGACTCGAGTCGGACTCCAGTCCGAGTCACGAGTCATGTGCGAGTCTTCTAACTTACCCACCCAACTTACAATTAAGTGGAAAGCGAAAACATTACAGTCTGAAACACATCAGTGGTTGCCCCTCCATAGCAGAAAACGAGGCTAGTTGCGCCAAGTGTAGGGCCTATTATCTACAACCACGAACGGGAAGAATTCGGGGTGTTGGGGTGTATGCCATCCGTATTCGTGCGCATGCAGATCGCATCCTATAACGCGCGCTTATAAAGTAAACATAACTACACGTGTACTAATTACATGTAGATATTAATAACATCTTCAATAAAATGCGTGTACACAAAAACGTCATTGCTGCATGCACAAGCACCCTTCAATGATACCCTTACAAAATTCAGTTACACGTGGCATTCAATATGGTTGTTGCCAATATCAAGCTTTTTTTTAAGCTTTTAAATATCACGCGACGTGGACATTATTACTTCCACGATTTTTGTTGATTAATGACAGTATCAAGTGAAACTCCATCCCGAGTAGACGAGGATTTTGTTGGTCCGGCGTAAATGTCAAAATGCCGCTACTGAAATTTATCACCAACGTACCGGAGAGTCACATGGCGTGCGACCTGGAGTTAAAATTGTCCAGTAAACTAAAGGAATGCATCAGTCAATGGAAAGAGCAGGTAAATTCACTGACACATTATTCAGAGAGGGTATCGTGGTTTTTTCAGTTGTGATAAAATTGTAATTCCTTTGTGAATATGTTTCCATTTTACCATTCTATGGTAAGCTGGTGGGTGATTTCTTGTTTTGTTTCGATAATGCAACATCCATTGTCGATGATATTTCCACATCAAAAGAGTTACAATAACAAACATTCACACGAAACACAGCATTTTCCAAACTGTGTATCGTATGGCGTAATAGCCCTGGCTACAAAAATATACATCAATTTGGTGGCTTCCGCCTTCCGAACCCTAACCGAACAAAAAGAAAAGACCCAAGTACGATCAGAATACAGAAACGATTTCAACTTACAAGTATATGTAGTATGAAGCTCGGTGGGATGATGTTGCTGATCACATATCGTCTTGAAATGCATCTCTTAATTTACTTTGACGTGAAATGCACATCGAAATAACGCCACAAATATGGTGATATATAATCGGGAACTTTTTTCAGAGCCACTCCCATGCTAGCATCTTTTAGCCAATCTCACTAGTTGTACTTGAACTATACTTCTTACTTTTATATCTCAATATATCGCTTAAATATTTTGTCTTTGTCCACACACACAAAATCCTCGCCACTTCCGATATTAGAGGAGTGATACCGAAACTATGATAACAAATATTATGATAACAAATGATATTATTGTTTTCCGAGATGTACATTTTTCCTTATCATTAAGAAACAAAGAATAATTAGAACTATATTTTGGATGCTCAGTGTGGTATATTATGGTTTTACCATTTGTCTAGGGTGAAGTAAATGTTCTAAAAAACCAGGTTTGAAAGAGAATCGACGATGTATTGTGGTAAAAAATGGCAAGTAAACTAAATTTACTTCAAAACATCAGCATTCTATAGTTACTAAAGATTACATCTTTCTTACATATTACATGTGCACCTATAGCTAGCTACACTTTAAATTAAAATTGGCTCTATAACCAAGACTGATTTAATGACAGAAATGTATTAATTGGCATGTAGAGATTTTTTCTACCTCGATTTCTCACATTCTTACAGTATTTCACCGTATGGCTGTTGCCCGGGCAACGCATCATTAGAGGCAGAGACAACTCGCCCAATGCAATCATAGAGATCTATTGTTGTGCAGCTTTCTACGACGCAGAGATAAACCGGAAGATAACGCGTCTGCTGATTGAGTTTGGCAGTAATGAGCTGGGCATCCAACAAGACAGGTATGTGGCTCATAAGGAAAGACACAACCTGCCTGCCGCATAAAAAGCTGTTCTCCACAAATCAAAGAAACAGAAGCCCATTTACATTATTTGGACGGCAAGGAAAATGAGGGGACGGGTTGTTATCAAAGCCAATGTTTGCGTTCAACGTCGCGCGCACTTCCCAGAAATTGCGTCGGGTCCCTTTCATGTCATTCCGTCCACCTCTGTGGTTGCTAACGAAGATGACATTTATAACCAGATGTATCTTTGATTTTGTCTTTCGCATGCAGGATGTCCGTTTTATTGTATCGGCCCAGGACAGATTGTGTCGGATTGGCAAACGGTACACTCGTCTCTGATCTGGTTTCTGAGCAGAGCTCTCAAACTCTACCAACGTGGGAATAAGACTTCAAAACCAGCCCCCCCCCCAAAAAAAAAAATTGTTACCTCCGCCAAGGAGGTTATGTTTTCATCGGCGTTTGTTGGTTGGTTGGTCGGTCTGTCTATGAACACGATCACTCCAAAAGTTATGGACGGATTTGCATGAAACTTCTTTTAGGGGTGGTCCTTGGTACAAGTACAAATGGATTAGATTTTGGAAGTGATCCGGATCTGGGTTTGGATCCAGGTTTTGTTTTAAAGGATTCTTCACCATTATGCGAGTATTTCTTTTGGGTGAACTGACAATATGGCGAGGTTAAGTACCTCGCTCGGCCAAGGAGGCTATTTTTTCACCGGCGTTTGTTTGTTTGTTTGTTGGTTGGTTGGTTGGTTTGTCTGTTGATAAGATAACTCAAAAGGTTTTGGACGGATTTAGCCTATAAAAACGTTTTCAGGGGTGTGCCTTGATACAAGTACAAAAATCTGGGTCCGGATCCGGAAGGAATCTTCACAATTTATGCGAGTGTTTTATTTTTGGGTGTACTGACAATATGGCGAGGAATTGTTCAGCCTTGGCGGAGGTTTGCGCTCCGACTCCGAGTGCTTTCTAGTTACTTATGTTTATGACTATACATAATACTTACTGTTTATGGTACCTGCAGATGCAAATGTTTGCATAACCTTTTCCTAATGAAGTTCCTTTGTTCCAGTAACAACTGGCATTCTAGAATTGGAACTTGTCCAGCTGCCAATAAGGAGCGGTATTTTCTTCTTCATAACCATATGTGGAAAATAGTTTATAATGAGTCCTTATCAGTACTGGTGTCGTGTGAAATTAGGACACCATGAATACAGACTCAGTGGTTGTATTGCGCATGCCTTGGTGAAGATAATTAGTACAGTGGCATGTCACGGGTTAGAGACCATATAAAGTAATAGGGACCTGATTTTATAAGAGTCCAAAGTTCATATAACATTGTCTCCAAGCAATATCAGTGGGGGATATAGAATTTTCTTAAGGAGGTGGCTGGAATTTTTAAAGGGTGGGTGTTGGGCGTTAGATGAAGGATTGATGTTGCAGTCAACGTAACAAAGAACTTAAGGCAATGCACCAAGTTTTGCAATATTGAGTAGCCTAGTGACATTTGATGAGGACTCAAGGAAAAATTTTTCTATGGTGTAAAAAATTAACATTGGTCAGTCTGAGCGAAGGGGGGGGGGGGGGGTGGGTTGTTAGCCACCCCAACAAGCCCCTTGGACCAATCCTTGAATAGACTACCTTGTGATCGCATCCAATGAGACGTCTTGAAAAACATTTCACTTATAAATATTTCATTTAAAGAAAAAAGGGAAAGATTTCCATATCTGGACATCGCTCGTCACCCTGTGAACAAACCCTAAAAGGCTGGTCTGAAAATTTCTAAGTGTTTTCTCAGTACCCAAATGTAAATTTTTCAATATTTTCCCTGCTAAATTTGACCTTTTTTTTCGGACATATTAACACTTTCTGATGGCTCATAGGTCCCTGCAGGGGAAAAAAAAATTGATGGCCAGGTATGGGAATCTTTCCAAAAAAAAAATTTCATTCAGCTCTTCATTTCGATATGTCACTCAGTTTGATATTCTGATGAATTGAGACATTTTGCAGGACATAATAGTTGAAAGCCCCTGTTGATTCCCATTGTTGAAGATTTGTTTAAGAATCCGTAACTCAAGAGCAGGGACTACCCACTGATGGTGCTAAGTAAGGTCACACAAGTAATAATCATCCAAGGAAAAACGGTTGTAGTTAACATATATTATCTCATTTTATTTATGTACAGTTAGTAAGCCTTTGTAGCAACATGTTAAACTTGAGCATAAACAAGAACATCAACAGATATAAATATCAACTTTTGGTGTTGTACATCTTAAACACATTGCTGATAACTTAATAAATTCAATGAGTCCATTCAGTGAATTATAAGGTTTTATTTCCAAAACCTTGGTATAGCTCCGGCTGCATGTTCATTTGTTACAAATCACGCAATAAATATACTGTGTTTATCCCTTGCTCATATATGTTGGTGTTTGTTTATTTTTCCCCGTTTTTTTTTTTTGGGGGGGGGGGAGGGGGTGTTTTGGGTTTTTGCTTTAAAAAAAAACAAAAAAACTTGTAGGGCTATAGATATTATATGGTGCACCAACATGGACCGACTCTTGTGTTTCTACACTTTCTATCATAAAAAGTGTGTAGCGCAATCATCTTGTCTGCAAAAGCTTCATACCTAAGTTGCTTATCATCTCTGGCTTAATGGTTAATTCCTAATTAGCAGCAAGGCAATGCGCCTCTAATTCCTTTTGTGGGGAGGATTACGAAAGGTCTGCAATGTTGTATGGTTTAGCGCTAACAACCTCCGTTTTCAATACATGTGTAAAGCTGGTCTAGAATTCCCAACAACTTTATATCCTAATTTGTAATTACTAGCCTACTGCTTTACATCACACCATGCAGCTACAGCCTATTGTTTACCAGGTAACAGTTTCCTGTTGGCAAGTTTGCAGCTCAATGTTTACAGTAACTTGCCTTTGTTGATCCATAACTGTTAACAGTTATCTTGACTGCTGAGCCATAATTGGATTAGGTACAACAATTGGACAAATCAGTCTCCACTCACTTGTTGATGTCAAGTTGGTTAACACCTTTGTCAACCTTAACAATACAGTAAACAATAAAGCCGACCACATACACAATCTTGCGGTGACTCCTGCTACAGTTACACCATGTAAATGGTTCTTGAAATGTACCTTGGTACCCCCATTCTCTTTACTCTTTAAGTTTCTACATTCAGGACGAACACAGTGATGTCATCTTCAGGCAGAAGCTTTAGGTTTACATCTCAATAAGCCTCTGTACTGATGACGTCACACTTTTTTTTACATGGGTCTTATTCACGAGTCGGCCATATTGAATTGAAAGTGAAGTAAAAACTTAATTCTTTGATCTTGCGAAGATAAATGAAAGCAAGTTAATTACTAATTAATTCCAGTCCGTTTCAATGAATAATTTAAAATTAAACAGTCCCTAATGTTTAAAGCCAGATTTAAAAAAGAAGAAGACAGTACCAAAAACAAGGCTGCATTATGCCTGCATAAATAAATAGTCTGGCGCCACCCCAATTCAACAGTTAACAATTAATGAAATACTTTTGGGAACTCAACAAAAATGGCCAACTTGTGCATAAGGCCCATGTGCGCTTTCATATGGCAGCCTGGTGGGAACAATGGTTTCGTCGCCCGATAGAAAAGCGCACAAGTAATCAAAGCGTGGCTGTCATTGAGGCTTATTAGCACATGCACAAATACTTGGCACATTTGTTTTTCACTAAATACAATTTAAAAGCCTGGCAGGCCATCAATCAACATAGCAAACCTGTATTTAATGTAAAAAACTGCTACTCTGAATTAAACTTGAGGTTGATCATTTGTTCAGAAATCTTAAAATGGTCAAGCGACTGCCTCAAGTGGCATAACATATAGCACTAGCACCCAGAGGAGTAAAAAAAAAAGTTAACAATAAGGCCCCCAAAAAAAGTCTCCGGTTTCTGGTATGGAGCTTGCCCAAAAAGTGGTGCGGCGACGCGGCTTTTTTTTTTTTTTTTTTGCTTCAAATGTCGGCTGATGACTGCAAATGGTGCCCGACTAAACTTAGTGCAAATGTATGGGAGTCCAGAGAGGCCACATAAAGCTTATTCTTGACCATAACCCAATCTAAAAACACGTTAAAATTGTGCAGCAGCAGAATTCCAGTCAAACCAGTGAGTTTGGCGGTTTTGAGGCATCATCTTTCATTGAAAAAAAACTTTTTCATTTTGCCGACGCGCATGGCTACGGCGACGCGCGCGCATACCAGAAACCGGAGACTTTTTTTTTTTGGCCTAAGGCCAAAAAAAAAAATAAGTCGGTCTCTGGTCAGTGCGCGCGTCGATTTTAATCATGCGCGTCAATCTTTTTTTTTTCCAAAATGTTCCGCGGTAGCTCCAACAGCGCCCTCTATTGCCGCACCTCCTCAATTGTTTTTACCAAAGAGCACCAAGGAATGGGAAATTGCACCAAGGCAAATGATCGAGAGCACCAAGGCAAATTATGGAGGACACCAATGTACATGAGGACACCAACAAAGCAAAATAGTACCCCACTTTGTCTGTACAATCCAAGCTTGAAGAAAAAAGAAAAAGAAAAAAAAGCTGCGTCGCCACGTCAATTCCGAAACTTTGGTCTGACCAGAGACCGGATATTTTTTTGGGGGGGGCCTAATATGGACAATGTCAACAAATTTTTTAAACATTCCTAAACCAAATTGGGATTTTCCACTATTCTGAAATAGTTCAGAGTCATGGATATTAACACACAAACAATGTTACTGTGTGAAATTAATTTCAATGCTTTTGTTATTAAATGTGACCCTGTAATAGTTCTGCAAGTATCAAAGGGGATCAATGGCATATCAAACAAAGTTCTGTCTCCCTTTTTGTTTCCTTTTGTAATGTGTAAAACTGCTGAAACACGCACAAGAAGTTTGGCCATTGATAACCGGGGAGTAAATTATGTAAATGTGTTACAAATAATACAGGTCATAACTGAGGTCCAGTTAGACAAAACAGATCCTTGTGGAAGTTAAAACTGTTCTCCCCGTGCTGTTTTCAAGTTTCACCCCGAAAAATTGACTTTGTTTTGAAATTGTTATTTGTTTCTAACAATTTTCACTTTTGACCGAGACATAAACCAAACAAAAATTCCCCACATTTAGTTATGGAATAATTACTATATACAAATTTGGAAGTATTTGCAGCCCAACAATAATTCAGCCATATATTTTGTGCCTTAAGGGTAAAAGAGTAACTCAAAATAAAGTCACATTTACAGAGAGTTGAAAACGTCCAAAATGGAAAAAAGTAAATTTTTTCCTGTTTCAATAAAAAGTTAAATGAATATGATAAAGACACAAAGCCAACATCAAAACTGACCAGCACATTTCTGGAGTATCGTTCAGTGTTTTCAACATGTAACACAATGAAGATGAGGTCATTCCGATTTTGCTGGATTCCAGGGTCTTCATACAGGAAGAGCTGGGGGCCATGAAAATGTTTGCCTGAAATTTGAGGAATGGAGGAAACGAAGACTTTTTAAACAAATGTATGGTGCCAATATGTGATTCACAATTTGAAAAAGCCTGAAATCCGGCAATTACAGAAGCACTTACACTGTAAAACATGTACAGGTTTGATTAACCCTAACCCCCTAGGCTCTTGCACTAGAAAGGATACCAAACCTAACAAATTTCAACAGCTGCATACAGGTCTGTAAGCACTGGTACCAAAACTGCCAAACTCCAACAGGCCTTGTACGGGGAACAGTACTAAACCTGCCAAGCTCCAACTGTTGGAGTTTGATTGACTTGGTATGGATGGGCCTATGCATTGTCGAGTGATTGGATAGGGATGGTACCAAACCTAACAAAATAAAGCAATATATTTGACCAGGAACTGTACTGGGGACCGTGGGTGAGCGTACCCACGAAGAAATGCCTGTGAACTCCCATGTACATGCACATTTGACCACAAACTGTGCTGAAGACCGTGGGTGAGCATACCCACGAAGAAATGCCAGTGAACTCCCTCAAACTCCAACGTGTTCACAAATCTCATGCCCTTCTGCCCCGAACCTCACAAAATTCAACAGGGTCTCCCTGGGCCTTTGGTACCCAGTCAATCAAAGTCCAACACTAGCTGGCCAGTGTTCGGTACCAACCCTGCCAAAATCAAGCAAAACCCGCTGTTGGAGCTTGATGGGCTCAGGGTTGTTAGGGTTAAAGTAAACAAGGATTTAACTATGAGAAGGAATGCATGCTATTCCATCAAATTATAAAAAAAAAGATCACATCAATGAGGGGCGAAATCCAATATTACAAAACGTACCTCATTTTAGCTATCAACACATCTTCCATTATAACTTGAGGGAGAAAGAGACACCACATGAGCAGCCGTTCTCAGACATGGGGATATTGGTGATCCTGAAAGCAGAGCGAATCAACTCCTGGTGGTAGTCCACCGTTGCACCCTTGATGTAACCCAGAGACACCTCGTCCACTATCACCTTCACACCGTCTTGCTCAAACACCCTGCACAGGGGGAGTCCAAATGAAATTGACTCGGAATAAAGATTTTTTTCTGAAAAGTTATCAAATTTGATACACCAATGAAGTATGTCTTAAAAGAGCATGTTCTCCCACTTATCTGAAAAAAAAAAGAATTACTGAAATTGATCCATGCCATCAGAAGTTATGCATGTTTAACTAAAAGAACCCATTTTTATAGCTGTCCATGGTATGCCATTGGAAGCTATTGAGCTTAAAGGGAATGTACATCATTGGCTTTTGCTGATATTTTTAAAAATGAACTATTTGAGGGGTTAGTATAATAGGTCAAATATTGTTACACTGACATGTTTGAAGTTTTGTGTTCGAAAATGCTGGAAAAGCCAAGAAAAACAAAAACGTTCAAGTAGTCTGGTTCCCTGACTCCACTAAAGATGAAATGGATCAATTTATAGATGCCAGAAAATTGTTAGGTCAGGGAACCAGTCTAGCTGGCCTGCACCCGTTCATGAACATGTAACCAATAGCAAACAAAATTTTGACTGAACAAAATGGTAAATTTGGAGCAGTAGTTGAAAAATAGTTGAAAAATAGTCCAACGGTGGTCGGCCGACCACCGTTGGAAATTTATACTAAAATACCATTTTCTTGAAAATGACTTCACACCAAGTGCCATAATTTTACAGGATGCTTTAGACTGTCATTAACCAACATCCTAGTGAGGTATTTCGTAAAAACCTGGTAGTTTTATTTGTCGATGTTTGCAAATGTTGTATATTCCCTTTAATAGTGAGACTCACAGATTACACACAAGCATTCAAATACCAATGGGATTTTAATAATTGAAATCAAGACTGAAACATTATTTTTACCGGCAGATTTTGTGTTTTGAATATGAGAAACTCTTTTAATTCTAAAAAAATTGATGGCGATTTTTGTACGTTTTCCTTAGAAAGTTCTCGTTCATTCATCAAGGTGGGAAAAACGTCCATGGATGTTTCATTGTACTCAATGGGTATTCATCAGTTCCTAGAACGGTTAATGATCAGTGCTTGACAGCCGAGTTTTGTGATCTTTTATTGAAACAGACATAACTTGGGAAAAGAGTATGCAAACTACATGAAATTTTCAGTAAAAAGTCAATAAGATGTACTTTATCCCTTTGGTATTTTTTCTGAAATGGAGCAAGCCAAATATCTTTAAAATATTTTCAAATTCGGTCACTTTCTTTTTGACTCACCCTGTTGATTTGAGATTCAAACATCAGTCATTTCCTTTTTCCCCTTTGAAATTCTAACTACAGTTGCAGGTTTTTTTCAAATAAACCACCACGGGAAACTGACAAGGTGTGTTATAACTATTTTAAAGTTGAACACAGAAATTGACTGAAAATCTACAGCTAAGTGAAATGTAATTTAACAAGGGCGAGTGCACAATAAGCTCTGGCCCTGTTCCGGAATGTCTCACTTCATATGCAAAATAAACGCACATGCGCATCGATCAAGACAAAGGGGCGGGTTTCGAAAACTTTGGTCAAGAGTGCATTTACTGACAACAGCACTGCACTTGGTCAATTTTTGGTCAATTGGTAGTTATATTTTATGGGAAACTTAGGGGGCCCGTTGTTGGTCGATTTTCCAGTGACAGACCTACCAACCGACCAACCACGAAGGGGGTCTAAAATGAGAAATTCCAAAGATTATTATTCTTTTTTAATTGTGTACCTGTCTTCTTCAGTGATGTTTTGTTGCGAGTCCAGTTGAAATTTGCACTGAAACCCTGAGCAGCCGCCTCCCTCCACTAAAACCCTCAGATGCTTGTCACCTTCATTAATCCTGGAGAGTTGCTGGTTTCAACAAACAGAGGAAATATGTGTTACCAATCTTAACACCGGCCACGTGACAGGCTCTCGACCAATAGGAATGGGCAAACTGTCTTAGGTATTTATGAATCATTTCTTTAATTGAACAAAGAAATTGACTGGAGCGGGGTTTGAACCTGCAACCTCCGGATTGCCGTTCCGGTGCTCTACCAACTGAGTTATCCAGCCTTATGTTGGCGTTTCCCCGTTCTGTCAATGTCTTTGTTCAAAGGGTGCTAGTTATTTTTGCCATGTCGCCAGGGATCATGCCCAAAGTCATGATGCAAGCAACATTAGCAATGCTGCAAACCTGAGAAATAGCAAACGGGGATCACTCCGACAGGATACGGCTTCTATTCTAAATACATGCACTGTCTAATTCTTAAAAGAAGTATTATTCGCAATTTGTGACCTCAATGTTTCCCCTTCTCTAATACAAAAAGCTTAATTTGATTTAATCAAGTTTTTTTGTTACCTTAACACAACTGTCAGTGATGTTGATAGTGTCTTCTGTGGCTTCGGCTTTGGTACTTGCACTTGCTGAGAACTGTTTTGCTAACGGACTTTTCTGGCAAATTTGATGGAACCTGTAGCCTCTCAGAACACTAGAAAAGAATAACATAGAAATTAGCATATGATCATCAGAATTTCAGGTACCCAAAAGCCAAATTGTGTTCCCTCACTGGCCTTCAAAAGCATCCCACTCAGGATATAGAATACTATACAGGGCGAGTCAGAATGATCTGGACCCAAGTTCACCATTTTGTAGTGGCAAATAGAGTATATATTGCAAAAAACACTGAGTGTTTCAAATGAATGGTTATAACCTTGTCTTCCACAGGAATTTTGAATTTTCAAATAAGTGGCTGTGGTGAGGAGTTATGCCATTTTCATTGAAATGGCTCATTTTCCAGTCTGCACACGAAATTGGTTTTGCTTTTTTTTTTTAAATGTGTCCATAACTTCAAGTGAGTCAGTCACCATGACTAGGTTTTTATTTGTTATTGCAATGCTTCACAACAGTACGCAATTTCAATAAATTTGTTGAACAATGGAACCGTGGTCAGAGTGTATTTTTGCGCGTGCTCTTTGCTTGCGCCTTTCTTCAAAATAGTTAAATGGATGAAATTTTCACCAAATATATCTAAAACACCAGCTTATAACATATCTCATTTGCACTCGTTTTGATAATTGCTACATATTTTTAATATTTTCTTCAATTTGGGTCCAGATCATTCCCACTTTTTTTTCACCACAAACTCAATGATGATCAGTCACTACATAATGACAACTGAGTTGGAAAGCATGGTTTCAGAACTAAGAAATATTTCCCTAACATTTTTAGGTAACAACAAATTAGGCCCCTCCCCCCCCCCCCCCAAAAAGAAATTCTGCTTCCGATTACACGGCATTCGAAAATAGGGTAGGTAGGTAGGGAATTTTCTTTGCAAATTTTTTTGTGTACGATCATATGGAGGTGTCTGCGTGTAGTCAAGGGTACAAGGTAGAAATTTATGGTTTGGGGTGTTTTTTTCTCATAAAAGAAATTCGGGTAAGGGCTGTCAGAATAGGGTAGGTAGGGAAACCGGGAGCAGAACTATTTTTTTTGGCTTGAGCATCAGAATACTACAATTTTCCCCTGATACCACTGTTTGCAATAAAACAATAACATTTCTAGTATAAATAGAGGATTTTTGTGTTGATAATGGTCTGATGTCATGGACATCATGACTTCCATGTACTTCTGAATTCTGGACACTGATGATCCTACTCCATTAACTCTAACTCCTTACTGAGTTTTACTAAGAACAGTACCAAGTCCACCAACATCCATCACTGACTCTGCTTCACATAATGCTTCTGGACCCAAACAGCCAATATCCACCATAAAATCTGCTATAGGTGGATTTTGATGGACTTGGTACCCATGGCTTGCATACCAAAATCCCCCCAAAAGGGGGATGGATTTTGATGGAGTTGGGAAGGTTAGGGTTTGTGTTTCAAGACTTCCTCTGCAGGGTGAGCCACAAAGCGATGCATGCTAAAGTTTGTGAAAAGTTGTGTTCCCTGAATTTGAAATCTAGACTGTTTTTTTTTAACTTAAATATCAGTCACATTAATGTGGCAAACACTGACTAAGTTTGAAAATTATATATATTTGAAACAAAATACAACATAGAAAACGAAATAAGGGAAGTTTCAGCCATAAATAATCAAAGTTAAAAAGATGCCTTGATCCCTCTGTGGGGCATGAGTAAAAAAAAAAAGAGAGACGAGCAGGATAAGGTAGCGGGCAGGACAAGAAAGTGGTTTATTTGTTTACTAATGCTTGGCCTAAAAACTGCTAAAACTATTTAGAAAGTCACATTTTCTTCCTAAATTCTGATCAAAAATTATAGAAACCTAGAGTTAATCTATATAAAAAAAGACTGCTTGAGGCTGCAAAGGTCATTTCAGAATTGCGGAATTTAATAGTAGGCCTAATTTCAATAGATTTGATGTGTCCTATAGTCAGATAGTATAAACTAAACGGACTAGAGGTGTCCTAACTTTTAAAATCATATTTCAAATTACCAATACAACAATGAGCGAAAAGATTATCACTTATTACTTAATGATATATTGAATGAGGAAGAATCAAATAAAAGTTTTAAGTAGGTCACTCACTCACAGCCTGAGCTATGCTGAGTGACAGCCCCCATCGGTTTGTGCACTGTCTTTGCCAACCGGAATTGGAAGTAGAACAAGCTAGCAGACAAGTTGGCAAGAAAATACGTGCACTGCGATCTCGAAAAGTAAATCTGAATCTGGCCTTCGCCAGCTGATTAGGTGAGTTCCAACCACGAAGCCAGGGTCTAGGGATAATGATAGTAACTGACGCCACTATGTTCAAACGTGAAGGAAAAGGAAAACCACAATTTTGCCTACCTTCCCATCGCGAGTCTCGTTGCACAACACTTTCTTATGTACGCCGCCATCTTGTTTGTTATGATATCGCAATGCGCAATCCGCAGATACCAGCTGCACAACAGTGCGCACACGTAGCACACTATTTTGTTACATACATCCGCGCAAGGTATTCCCGCGTACGACTTTTAACGCAATGATGCGGAAACGTTGTATGCTGGTACGGCGCTGGTACGTACGTACGTGCGGAGTAAGTACGTGACGTCAGAGTCATGCTGTACGAAAACTCTGCGGAGGCTTTGCACATACGATCTTTGCTTGCACTACCTGACGCACCGGTACTTAGCCCCAGATCCAGCATCTACATAAGGATTTTTAAAAGCAATGTCCCTGAGCTGAATTGATACAGTAAGCTCAGCATCCCTCCAAATTTGTCAAAATTTCGTACTGTAGAAAAATTGGGAAAAGTTCACTTCCGATAATATTACAATGTCCAGCACAATTTGCAAGGTCACCCAGACGCATTGTGGGATCGCATAACAAATTTCCTCGTCTGCGGCCGGCTGCAGATGCAGACTAGACGTACATGTACTGTATGCGAAAGCTAGCCTCTGTATCCATCAAGTCCATCTGTCAAGCATGAATTTACGAAAATAGAAACGTTTTGTGCAGCAAATTTGCCGGCACACCGGCCCTGTTGTCTATGTCTGTAACATGCAGGGGAATGAATAGTTATCTGTTCGCCATTTGGGAGATAAACTGTGGCCAAAATGGTGGTTTTTAACGGCACAATTCGGATGCGAGTGTGCGAGGCGGTGGACCTGAGACCGACCGATTTTTCCACCAGACACAGTGTAACATCGAAGGATTCGAAGAAGGCAGCAGCCAATGTGATCGACCCGTACATTATCATCACCGTGGACGATCAACATGTCGGCACGACAAGTATAAAGCAAAAGACGGTCAAACCGTCATGGAATGAAGACTTTGATGCCAAAGTTCAAAATGGCGAGAATGTTTTACTTACAGTTTACCACAGCTCCATCATTTCTTCCGATGATTTTGTGGCGAATTGCACGGTGGCGATTGAGGATCTCTTGCAAAATGGCGTGAATAAGAATGGTGCAAGCATTTCTGACATTTGGGTAAGGATACCATTGGACTTGAATTGAGGCGAAACCGTGGGATTTTTATTTCTCAAGCATGTCAAGTGGAATTTTATGAAAGATTGTGAGCATGAGAAGATGAGACATTTACATGTTTGTAAATTTAAGTTAACATAAAAAAAATGAGCAGTGATGGAAAAAAATATAGATGATCATGATGAACATCATGAAACTAAAAGAGCATGAAGAGTGCTGTGCATCTTTCGTTTGAGGACGAAACTTCAGACAAAATGCCTGACAGCCTACAAATTGCATTAATTACAAAAATATTTTGTTTTTAGGACTGGGCATTTCCCCAAATGTGAGAGAGAGTTGTATGTGCGTACCTGTTGCGAGTGTTGGCATGGTAGGCTAACCACTAACCAGTAACTCTGCAACTAAGTGCTGTGATCTGTGAAGTGTTGAGTTTGTATAAAATTGCAGAGGATGCATGGATGGCTAATGTTAGATGTAAAAAATAATCAGGCCAAGTAAAAAAATAAAGCAGCTTCTCAAATCTCATCCCCGCCTTTTTTTTTAATTCAAACATTTTGCAATATATTGTGCAAAATATTGTCAATGATTTGCAAACCAGGCCTATTTTGCTTCCAACACAATGGTAGCTAGGTATGTAGAAAGTCGTTTCGAAACAATAGTGTCAGCAAAATAGTCAATGAAATTGAAGATTCCATTCCCTCATTGAAGAAAATTCCCATATCTTGGAAAGAAGAAAAAGCTCCCGCCTCCTTCATTTAAAAAAAAAAAGGCCGGACGAGAAACTATAGGTACAAGTATGTGTTTTACTTGGCCTTACAAAATACAAGGGCATTATAAAGACAAGAAAAACGTCAAGGGAAGCCAGGCAGTCACCACATGCATGATGTATTTTAATTACAAAAAGTCAATCGCAAACTTTAATTTAAAATTAATTTTCCTTCATTCATCAATGTTACTCCCTGACGATAGCATCATCCCAACTATAGTTGGGACTTCCCGGACTACTTTGCTATTTGGGATATAGGCCTAACACCTGTTATGTAACTGACATATCCTTGTCATTTGATTGGTGGAACTCACATCACGTGACATTCGTTATATTGCTCCCATTCACGCCGGCGCTCAAAAAGTCCCATTCGCCCATGGTTAGTGGGATCTACTATTCAACAGTTAGGATTATCGTTGTTCCATGGTGCGGTATTTGTGTGCAAATGCATGCTGGTGTGCGTGTTGAGCGTTGCGCGTAGTGCGTTTGTTCCCAAGAGCCAGTAGCTACAGAGTTGGGTTCAAACATTTTGTGAAGGGGTGGTTTGGAAGAGAGAAATACATTTCCCACCAATTTTGTATTGAAATAGCGGTTCATTTTAACTGTAAATCAAATGACAAGGATAATAGATGTCAGTTATAAAACAAATATTGAGTGGCTTTAAATTGTGAAATGGGAGGAATATTATCGCTCGGTAAAATCTGGACTTTTCCATTTCACTCGGCTTCGCCTCATGAAATAGAAAACTCCAGATTTTACCTTGCGATAATATTCCTCCCATTCCACTCTGAGCCACTCAATATTTTTATGTTATTTGCTTGTTGGGACATATAGGCCTAAAACCTTCTATTATTTGCATGATCTGCTATTGTTTTAAATTGATGGGTACCAGTGAGCAAAATATGATTGACATGGGGCCTGGTACTCAATGCTTTCACAAGGCTCAGTACTGTCATGCTGTTAATTGATGTGTCAATGCTACAGTACATGGTGGTATTTTCTAAGAAGTGCCCTCGGTTTACACACCAAGACAATGTCAAAAAATCTTTTGAATGCCTTTATAATGCCAAAAAAAAAATCAATTCCGGAACTTTGGTCAGACCAAAGTTCCGGAATTGACGCGGCCACGCGACGTTTTTTTTTTTTTTTGCTTTTTTTTTTTTTCTTCAAGCTTGGATTGTACAGACAAGGTGGGGTACTATTTTGTTTTTTTGGTGTCCTCATGTACATGTACATTGGTGTCCTCCATAATTTGCCTTGGTGCTTTCGATCATTTGCCTTGGTGCAATTTCCCATTCCTTGGTGCTCTTTGGTAAAAAAATTGAGGAGGTGCGGAAATAGAGGGCGCTGTTGGAGCTACCGCGGAACATTTTGGGGAAAAAAAGATCAATGCGCATGATTAAAATCGACGCGCACGCTGACCAGAGACCGACTTATTATTTTTTTTGGCCTAATTAATGCAAAATTTTGTTTTCAGCACACAACATTAACACTGCCATGAAATTGAATTGTACAAGTACAATTCATGCATCGACTTTGCATCATGCATTCTTGTGTCACATCCAAAATGAACACGGATGTTATCAATAACATTTGTGATTTGATTTAACCCTTGATAATGATATGTTCTGCAGAACAACCCCAGAGCGATATGTACACATAATTAAATGTGAAAGGTTTCACAATTCACTTCCAAGTTAATGAAGGGCGGAGATTCTGAATTGAGTTTTACCAGCTGTCGCAACTTTATGCATGGAGCTTATTTTGATGTAAAGTCCACAACACATTCAGTATGCATAATAATTAATGTTACACCCCAACTATGGCAATGTCCCAATTATAGATGGGACAGTCCCAACAATAGTAGGTGAATTCCTAACTATAGTTGGGACGATCCTAACTGTAGTTGGGATGATGCCATAGTTGGGGGCATAACAACTATAATTGTCTCAACCTCGTCCCCAGTGCTTACTTTATTTCCAACCTAGTTTCCAATAGTAAACCCTGGATAGGAAACTTTCTTCCTGCATCCTGATTCGATACGGCAATTGGCTAGTAATGGATTTTTGTCGTGTACTTGGTGTTGTTATTCACAACGTGCAGTACGTGTTTTCGCGATTATTCGTCCACGCCTTCTCGAAAATACTCATTTCCTTCCCAATTTGTTCATATTAATATGAAATGTGATACTACATGTTGTCTCGGTAAGATCGTAACAATTTAATTAAATAAATCGTGTTTTTCGTAACTCGCGCCATGCTCGCGCTGCGACGAATTGACTCTGCTTTTACCCCAGACACCACATACAAAAACAAACGCAAATGTAACGCACAAGCAGGCACCAGACTATTCCTAATTTGCATACGTGTTCAAAAATCTTTACATGCAAATGATCCAATACCAGGGTGAGAGAGCAGGGAGTGATGGGCGCGTACTGCTTGACACCCTGGGGTCGAGGTTGCAATTGTCTCTTCGTGTTTTTCTGACTCTAGCTGTCTTGCGTTTTTCTGACTCTAGCTGTCTTGCTTTTTTCTGAAAAACCATCTTCAAATGGTTGCACTTAGGGGCCTATAGGCCTAGAACCCGAGAAACTGGTTTTTATTTTTACTGTGGTACCACTACAAATCTAAATCTGAATTCATGGACACATGCATAAATTTACTGGTACCCGGTACATAAATTTGGGTTGAATTGTTAACGGTAGTTTTGCAAATTTTAAAGTGCCATAGGAATATGTTTTGTGCATAAAAAGTACCATTGTTACTGTATCTACCCTTTCATGCAACAATGTATGCTGTGTGTAGGCACATGTCAATGTGTAAAACGGAAATGAGCAGTGCATTTACATGATGGAGGTTTATTTGTGAAACAAGATAATTGAAAAAAACATAATTTTGTACAGTTTGACTATGAGCATCTGTCTAGTGATTGATAACTTGTAACCTACATTTTTCCCTCCCCAGGAAGAAATGATATCATTTTTTTGGCCTGACTCCTTTTTTATGGATTGGAGGGAGGGGTGGATGAGGGGTATGAGGTAATGCTGAAGACACATATCACCATGGAAACACACATGTAGTTACCACTAATACAAAGCATCATCCATACCTGTAGAAATTGTGATAGTGGTTGCATACATACACATGTACCGTTTGCATTGTAATTTTTAAGGCCAAAATAAAAAAGTCTCCGGTTTCTGGTATGCGCGCGTGTCGCCATAGCCATGCGCATCGGCAAAATGAAAAAAGTTTTTTTTTCAATGAAAGATGATGTCTCAAAACCGCCAAACTCACTGATTTGACTGGAATCCTGCTGCTGCACAATTTTAATGTGTTTTTAGATGGGGTTATGATCGAGAATAAGCTTTATGTGGCCTCTCTGGTCTCCCATTAGATTTGCACTAAGTTTAGTCGGGCACCATTTGCAGTCATCAGCCGACATTTGAAGCAAAAAAAAAAACAGGTAAAAAAACCAAAAAGCCGCATCACCGCACCACTTTTTGGGCAAGCTCCATACCAGAAACCGGAGACTTTTTTTTTTGGCCTAATGGTAATATGCATACATACACAATATGTACAACATAAATTTGTTTTTGCTGTAATTTTCAGAAATGGATGGATTTTGGAGTTAATATTTTATAGCAAATATTGTTACACTGACCTGTTTAAAGGTTTGTGTTCATAGATGTTGGAAAAACCGGGGGGGGGGGGGGGGGGAATCTGTTCTTGCAGTCTGATTCCCTGACCCTACTTCAGACGAAACAGAGCAAGTTACAGACGTTGGGGCAATTGTCAGGTCCGGGAAGCAGACTACACTGTAGCTCGCTTGCACCCATTCACAGATGTGTAACCGATTGCAAACAAAATGTGGACTAACTAAATTTGGTAAATTGGGGGCAGTGTTTGAAAAAAAGTCGGGTTCTTTTTCCATCATTGGACATTGCAAATTGCACTTTCCTTGAAAATGACAGCACACCAGGTGCCATTATTTCACAGGATGCTTGAGATTATTATTCACTTAAAGTCAATGTAAGGCATTTCATAATTAGTTGGCCAATTTTTTTAATTTTTTTTTTGATGTTTGCAGATGTTGTACATGTATGTACCTTTAAAATATGTAGACACATTTCATCCTGTGATAGCTAAGTAGGACACTGGACATGTAAGTCTTTATAGACCTTGCATTGCAGGTACCGTACATTGTATCGTAGAGGGGGTGCTTTATTACTTTTAATTGA